AACGTCAGTTGAGAGTCAGTCTCATGCAGACTAACCAATGAAGAGAGGGCCTCAAGTTAAGACCCTCTCCTCATTGGTCAGTCCACACGAGGTGGGTCAAAGGTTACTCTGGGCGGGTTACGTGTTGTCAGGCATTCAAGTATTGAGTATATTTACTGCATATTACAGTAAAATATTCTGTATGTGACCACATTATGGTGATCCTCGGGTCGTGATGATGGAGCCCTTGAATATTGTTGCCCAGGGTACAACAAAGTGTTAATCTGGCCCTGGTTCCGCCGTCACATTCCCGCAGAAACTGGTTGATCACACCGGGGCCAGACTACTAGCATGTGGTTTTACAACCACAATGTCCTCAGAAGCAAAAACGCTTTTAAAAGGGAGGGAGGAGTCCTAACTGTTGCTGCAGGCGTGTTGTGTGAGAGTGCAGTTATATACTGGTTAATATATTTTTGGGTTCAGTTGCTTTCATGTGGCCTAATGTGAGTCTATTTGGGATCATTGGAATGATCAGCAGCATTTCTTGATGTGACTTTATGGCAGTTGCCCAGGGCATCATCGCAAGGAGGATGGTATTCATTTACTTTTGTTTTATTTGGTATTTTTTCAGTCATTTTTTGGAAATAGTGATCAATTTTGATTAATTCACAGCCTATGTTTAATTACATTTAAAATAAATGTCAACAGATGAGATCAAACAAAACAGATGAGAATTGCCCTTAAGCTGTTTAACTTGGACCAAGCATTTTAGGTCACAGATAGATGTAGCTTAGGGTCTCTGTCCACACACCTTATAAGACAATTTAGGTGATGGCATGTTGTTTTTCTGCTATTGAACTGTTTTCTAATAATGTTGTGTTAAATAAAGTGAAGGAAGGAGAGAAATAACGTTTCCCTAGCAGTTTTTAAAAATTTCCCCATGTAATCCGATTAATCGATTAATCGTGTCGAGACCCCATCCGATTAATCGATTATCCAAATAATCGTTTGTTGCAGCCCTAGTGACCACATTAAGAGGTGGATGAGAATGAAGGACTAATTTGGCCGTGTTATAAAGTCTCTGAAATATTTAAACACATTAGTAAAAACACAATCGTGGGCCAAATTGCATGAGTGTTAAGGTGGCAGGATACCTCAGAAAAGTGCTGGCGGGAAACTGTTCTGCAACACTCCCCTGTTTGCGTTCCAACACTCCGTGTGTATCTCTGTTGTTTTCTAATAGAAGTTGTAAAAAACTCTTTCAAGTGATCGACTGAAGCATGGTGCAAATTCACGTAGTTTTACCTTCGTGTCAAGTGTTTCACCGAAAGATGATAATTTTGTCCATTTAAATTAGGGCTGCACAATATATCGAAAAATTATCGTCACCGCGATAACAGGACGTGCGATAGGCCCATCGCAAAGCACGTCAAAAACGGCGATAAATGTTTGGTTCAACATTTCCATCCGTGTCATACATCAACTTTTTGTAAACCAGCTCTGTTTTTTACGCGGAAGTATTATTTGACCAATCAAATGTAGCCCTTCTGAAATGCGGCCAATCAGATGGGTCCGTTCACGTAATACGCCCGCCCCCTACGAAGTCCCTTAGGATGGAAAGCAACACCCGAACATTAGCGGCGCCGTTCCCTTGTTCGTCATGCTGGCTCAGAGCAACGAACGCACTTTGTGCTGATGTTTCTGGAATCAGCGCTGCTTTCAAACGTGAACGTGAGTCCGCTCGGTGTCGTTAAGCAGCTGATAATAACCGGGCTGACTCCGACACGTCCCGGTGAACCAACCCACCTTCATGTCGCTAGTGTTCCACCGGGTGGTGATGTTAGCCCCAGGCTCCGGTTAGCTTCCAGCTAAAAGGCTACAGCACTCTCCTCCAGTCCCACCCTGCTAAAGAGGGCCTGGAAAAGTTCCCCCACACATCAAAGAAATTTTACATTTACGAGCTTTTATAACTTTGTTAATCAGGATAGTTGATTTGCTGCTGCACATAAACTGTCAGTCAGAAGCTCTGCTAGCCGGTTATCTTAGAGGAGCTAGTTCAATTTGTTAGCTTGTTATCAGAATCATAGTTGCAGTTTCATCATCTGAGCTGCTTTTTAAGATTTAGGTAAACTTGCTCAATTTGGGGTTAAAACCAAACGTTTTCACATATTTTCCATGTAGTTTTTTGCCAGTTCCAGGTAGACAATTGTTTTTGTCTTTCCCTCAGAAAATCTTAATATTCTCCTAGTTTGGCCCAGCACAGTACACTTCCCAATTACAGCAACAGCCTTATATCATAACCACAGAAGTGGAGAAAATGCTCAGTAGCAATGAGAGAATTTGCTGTTGCATTTAAGTGATGTTAACTATTATTTAACATTTAAACTTATTTTCTGATATTTTTTATTCAAAAACCCTGGTAAGGGATGATTTTCTGTATTTGGAGCATCAGAAAAAGTTTTATGGTGGAGGTGATGTTTTAAAGTCACTGAGAAACTGCATGCGTGCAGTTTGTTGTTTTGCTGCTAATACAGTAGCAGGTGCAGCTGCATATTTTTGCAATAAAAATGTTATGTTGTAATGGAATTCATGCATTAGTTTTTGTTTACTTTGAACCCAGAGCAGACGTCACACGCCAGACGACATCAACACTGCATACTTTAGTATTTGTTCATTTATTGCGAGTAAAATCGATATCGCAGTATTAAGCACCGTTATCGAATATCGCAGGTTTTCCTAATATCGTGCAGCCCTAATTTAAAGACATGCTAGGCAGAAGAGCTGTTTGTTTCATCTGCTCACCTTACTGCCGGCTGCTTTATTAGAATTAAAAAATCTGGTGAAGTGGAAATTACAGTTGGGGGAGAATTAAGGAAATTCTACGGTTCTATGTAGAGGTCGACCAATATTAGCATTTCTATTGCCGATACCGATATGTAGGAGACATGGTCAGCCGATGGTTGATGTGTACTGCCGGTGTTTTATGGGCCGATTTACATGGCCGATATCTAGACATTTTCCACCTTATTTTCATGCAAAAATGTCACTAATAACATCAGTTGGTGCACAAAATTACTGAAGCTGAATCAGTTTTTGAACTATGAATTTAACTAACTGTGTGTACTTCCCAGTGATAAAGTCAGAAAACTTAAAGTTTATGTAAAGTATTTATTATGCAGATGTTATTAGTGACAGTAAAAAGTCATTTAAATTAAATTGTGTAACAGCACTGGGCTGCCAGACGATGTGCCTGACTTTAGGTTGGCTTACTAAGGACAAATATCGACTGATGCCGATGTATCAAAAAACAATATATCGGCCTACCCCTGGTTCTATGGATCATTTCAAAAACACATCTGTACATATTTAGACCATTCCATGTTGGTAACTCACACAAACCAGATACACATGCGCACACACAAATCGGTGTTATACAATCAAAGGAACAAAACTGTTGACTAAAATAGCTTGTTTCTTGCTGTACACACAGAGACTTTTCAGCTCTGTGACTACCTCCAGTCTGGCTCAGATGCATTATTGGTAATTTCCTAATCAACTAACTAGTCTTCACAGAACGTTTGCTTTTGAACCTCTGATGTCGTCCTTCTTTGTCACTTCAAATTAAGACTTCTCAAAGCTCCAAACAATAAAATGAGTTTTAAAAAGTCCACATATATTGATGAAGATGGTTCAAAATAACATACGGAGCACCGGCCTGTAAAATAACTAGCTGGATCAAACCCAAAAGCCCTGTTAGCTCTATTTGAGGGGTGTTATCTAGAGGTTCACAAAAGTCATGGTTCTGACCAACTTTGTCAACAACATTGGAATGCTAATAATACAGATCCATCCCTTTTTATCTTGGTCAAATATATGGTGCCAGACCACTGATAAGCTAGTGTAATAAGGAAAATCAAGCGATTTTATTTGAAATGTGTATAAAAGGATTCTGAAATGGGGTGTGTGGTGGAATCTATAGAATCTCAATTTTTTTAACCATCAATGTATTTAGTGTATTTCAGACACTTTGCTCCTTGATAAGAGCTAAACATGAATATAGATGAAGGGATTGATGCTATGGTCCTGTCAAGACTCTAGCAGGTTACATCTGCAGACCTATGACTGATCCACATCCTCTTCAAGTAAGAGCTTTCTCTGCTTACCTAGACTGTATTTGTAACAATTTGAACCATTTAGCATTTGTGTTTGATCTTTTCAATCATAACTGACGCATAAAGGTTTTATACTGATGATTGTACATCGTTTTTGGCTTTCAAGTATGACCCTTCTTGGGTCTACAGCCTTCTTGGGCGTGTTTTTAAACGTGTTTTATTATAAAATGTATAGGTTACCATGAGGATGTATGGTGGTTACTTGACTGGCACACATTTGTGGGTGCGTGTAGCAATCCTATGGCCTGCTATGTGTCAGCCTCCTTTGGTATCGATGTAAATTCATTTGAAAATCATGCAGATTATTAATAAAACCCCAGTAAAATCTGATTAAATAATCCTGCGGCTGCATACACATCGCCGCTCAGCCCGTATGGAAATAAGTTTCTTTTTTTTTTGTGAATGCAGAAAGATTGTGAGAGCAAACACGTAACACGAGCAGTCGGTGCAGATAGTCCTGCCTGCTGTGTAAAAAGGGTGCCACCATTAATCGTGAGCCGAGGCCTAATAAGCGTGTATTTTTGTCACTAAAACTAATTTGCAAAGGCCTTCTTGCTAATAAGAGTTCGCTATGTCGAGAAGGGATAAGAAATATCTGGGCCACAAGCTGCAGGCTATAGTCAGGAGCCCTGGGGTATAGCACAGAAAGCGCGACGCGGAGCCAAATGTGAGAAAAGCGTTTCCTACTGGCTCGCGCTCGATGTTAACGGCTGCTAGCTTGAAGCCAAACGCTGACTGCGGAAAACAACCTAAACGCCACATTACTCGACACACTGAAGCACGGGCCTGACAACTGGTGTGTTTACCAGTCGGCGGAGGCTGAAAATAGGAGCCGTTGCTGCTGCTTACCATCTTGCAGGTCGATGATGAAATCCAGGCGATGAGGACGGAAAAAGGTAAAACAGGAAGAGTTAGAAGGCCTCTGAACTGTGACAAGAAATGTAGGAAAAACACGGTAAAGGTGCCTCTCTGAGGTCTGGTCCTGGATTTTTACCCAGCTTCAGACTCTTCGCCGTCTCTCTCCGTTACCGAGGCTTTCACCGCAGTGGCAAAGGGAGTGAGAGCCGCTGGGAGGGGACAGACAGTAAGCGGAGGAGGAGGTTCGGGTTTGACAAGCAGGCGGTGGTGGAGGAGGGGGGGGGGGGTGACTAGGGGGGAGGTGCAGCAGTACTGTACATCCGGGTTCTTTCGCTGCATCTCTTAAAGCCAATGATGAGAGCTTTATGCGTGGGCTCCCTCTGGTGGCTATACTGTGGTAATGCAGGAAGATGTTGTAAGGCGCAAAAGGCAAAAGCTATGGGTGGGTGGGTGGGGGGTGGGGGCTTTCTAAGAGGTTCATGACAGCTATAAATTTATGTGGTTATTTTGTTTTATTTCAGCCCATAATGAAATAATATGTGTCAACTCTGAAAAATTGTGTTGAGGCCTTGCCCACTACAGCTGCGTTGTTCCAGTCACATGACCCTAGTGTTGTGTTTGCACCTGAACTGACCAGTACCTACACTGACTTGTATATGGTAGCTGCTTCCCTAATTATTGTCTCCCTATACTAATATCTTTTCATTGTGTTTATTTCTTAATTCTAATTTTTGCTTATCATTTATTTTTTCTTGCACCAAGAACCGCAGCAATTTCCTAATGATGTGATTCTCGCACATCTGGCAAAAAACTCTTCTGGTTCTGATTCTGTAATGAAACAAGAAACAAATCAAATACAAATCTAATAAAAATGTAAATGAGGAATACTACATAAATAAACAAAGTTAATTAAATAAATTAAAATAATATAGCTTAGTTTAAAATTAAAAAATGAAGAAAAAGAAATGTATTAAGGGAAAGCAAAAATAAATGCAAAAAGGACAGGACGAATCATGGCCTGTTTGTGGCTCATTAATTATAATATAAGCCATCTTCACCACCGGTTGCTTTCTGAATGTATTATTTATTTTTCAGCTACAGCAGAATCTGCCCTCTAATGCAGGAGCAAATCTAGGTGATGTGTGAACATGGGTTGTTGATCCCATCAGCCATCTTTGTTTTGAGAAATTTGTGGTTCAATTAGTTGTTTTATTAGTTGGATGGCAGTGACGCATCTTTCTATGCATACACTCTTAAGCTATTTTGATGTCAAAAGCAAATTAAGTATTTACAGGACAAAACAGTGCATGCAATAAAGAGGACAGCATACACATAAAGATATGTTACTTTTATTAACAATATCATAATAAACACTACTATGACAAAAGGTAAGAATCATAATAAAAGGTCTATAATAAAACACTACATTGCACATTTCACTGCCATTGTGTTGCTTTGACTGTTTGCATAGATCCATTAAAATTCTAAGTTTAAATATTTCACAATTTTTATCTGTATATGCACAAAATTTGAAAAGATTTAACATTTTTCTGTACTATATATATGTGTGTGTGTGCGTGTGTGTGTGTGTGTGTGTGTGTGTGTGTGTGTGTGTGTGTGTGTGTGCGTGTGTGTGTGTGTGTGTGTGTGTGTGTGTGTGTGTGTGTGTGTGTGTGTGTGTGTGTGTGTGTAATTAGTCACAAGAATACAAAAAACAGTCCATAGAGAGGTCATTAAGAGTTTAGGCTCAGAATTACAAATAAACGATTCTTTTCTTCACAAACAACCAAGTTCTTTAGGAAGTAGAGAAGACAAACATGTTAAAGACAACTGCACCCAAATACAAAACTCCTACTTTTAAAAACTGCATTGTACAGTTCACATGACAGACATCCACACAACTATACACACTTTTATCACAAAAACCTGTTTAAAAACCAAATCAGTCAAGATGTTGCCTTAAAGCACAAATAGTGATGTATTTTTATTTTGTTTTTTGGCTTCAATGTTCTGACCCAAAGGCTGCATCAGGAGTTTTTTATGTTTTGATATAAGTAAAGATATTTAGTAGAGCTGAGTAACATCAGCAGAGCGGTTTGGGGACCTGGCAACACCAAGGGGATTTCTAAGTTAATAATTACCTAAAACTTTGTGCAGAAATGGTTACAGTTAGGTAGACTGTACACATATTCACAGGGGTATGACCACGTTTCCAGTGGCTGACTCAGTTATAACTTGTTGCTGATGGGAAAACAGAATATTCCCTGTTCCACCAGGCTTTTACATGTCATGCTGTAATTGGAAGTGACATGAAACAAGCCCTTTCTTTTACTGAATTTTAAAACAAAACTTTTTTCATCAATAATTCCAAAAACACACATCTGTACGAGCACCATCTTTAATACACACACACTTATTATGTAAACACCGGTGCAATGATGCAACTACAGTACCACACACACACACATACACACACACACACACACACACACACACACACACACACACACACACACACACACACATACACACACACACACACACACACACACACACACGTCGTAACACACTTACACACATAACGCCATTTCTCCTTAATTCTGAAATTGCATTTTATTTGAACACAAACTGTCACATTGCGTAACTAAAATAAACAAAACCCTTTAGAAATGACTCAATTGCTGCATGTTATTAGGAATTACAGCAGAACAAATCTTGTCCTTTAGGGCAAACAGAACACGTGTGTGTTTACATGTCAAAGGGTTTTGTATTCCCTGACTTTGGCAGATGGGTGAAAGAGTGAATCAGTTATGCTCCAAATCTTCTGTCTGTCAGACAAACATCTCCTTGTTGATCCACATGAGGGTGCGCGTGTCGTTGGGTTTGCATTCATACTCGATGCTGTTGAAGCTGTTACCCCACTGGCAGTGGTCCCTCTTGTTGTAGTTGTAGAACTTCACCTGCCACACGGTTTCAAACGTTCCCACCTCTGTGAACTGAAGCAGAAACACGTATAAACAGGCACACAAACAAACAAGAATCTGCGATGTTTCGCAGCCTGGTGGCAAATCGAAGCAATCTAAGTGAAACATGTCCAAAGTACAGCCCGGGGGTCTTTAGTGGCCCTGGGGTGGCTTTTGTGTGGCTCCCAATTACATTTGTAGAGACTTGTTTCTACTATTGGAAGTTCCGGGTGATTTTAACGCGCCTTCACGGTATGTGCGTGTCTCCTATTCACCAGACCAGCTTGAAAAGTCCACTTTGCAGCCATTTCGGGGACAAAAACAAGTATTTGGCGTGGGGTCTGGACTCAGAAATGGCTCGGTAGAGTCGCTGAACAGGACTTGTACTGATTGGCTGTAACTCAGAAGGAAATAACTTTGGCATACTTCACCAAAAAAATGTTCATTTGTAAATCTTTAAGTTTCTGGTGAAGCAAGAAGGAAGGAAAAAAAAGAAAATATGCAGCATTGATGCTGTTTAAAATAGCAGACACCTTCTAATATTTTCCTACATTTGGTTTATTATTAACCTGCCTATTATAGACATATTTTGAGGAGTACAATTAAATGATCATAAAATAATTTTAGCATTTTTTTAATTTAAAAAATCTAATAATTGTGGCCAATGAGAATAATTAACTTAACAAATGTCACCCTTGTCTTTAAAGTTTGGACACCCCTTCTCAATGAGGACAGATCACACACATTTGTGTTAAGATCTGACTTAAACTGAACCGTTATTTTTCCACAGAAGTTTATCTTAGAAACTCTGACATGAAAAGAAAGCTAAGCCTTCCACTTGTGTAAACGATTTGAAGGGGAACTGATGAGCTGGACAGATGGTTGCATGCACAGAGTGTCATACCACAGGCTGCAGGGCACGGTCGCACAGATGAACATTCACACAGAGAAAAACAGCTTCTATGTAAAAGCCTGTGTTCCCTGGATTTATCATGTATCAAAATAAACATTTATTATTATTATAAATGATCAAGCATTTGTGTTTTGCTGTGAGAAGAAATGATCGGTCTGCTGATCACTGCATGGGAAAAACTGATGAAAGACGAAAGCAACAGCTTAACATTTTAAGATTTGAGCAAAAACCAGCAAGTTGAAATTTTGACTCATTAAATAAGGCAAAATATGTTTGTTTAATCTGAATAACTAACCATGATACCAAATGTGTAATTTTTAATGTTAGGAATAAAATATTTAATTAGGAAAGTCAATTTTAGTGTGTTTTCCCCTGACCTGGGTCAGTCTCTCTTCAATAATGTTTGTGGTATTTGGGTATTTGTTGCTCGCATGTTTGCTTTTTAGTGAGCCAGTGAGAATAGGCGGTCTTATTTACCATGAAAATAAATAACTGCAAAAATAGTTAAATAAAAGCCAAATACCTTGAATTAGACAGAAAATCTGTTATGTGCACCAGACACTAACACCTCAGCAGTGAAGGAGGCGTTGGGACCCCTGTCCACAAACATTGAACCCACCAGTAGAAAACTCAAGCTAGTTTCACACGGGACAGTTGCGCTCAGTCTTCAGTGCGCACCTGTTTTTCCCAAATGAGAAATATAGCAAAATATCATGATTTTATTTTGAAATCTAATATGGAAACTGTGGTTCACGCCTTCGTCACGGCACGACCGGACTACTGTTCACTGTTTTCTCATTTAAAGGTGTGGATCACTGAAAAAACATTGTTTAATAATTATGTCTCATCATAATCGGCCAGTTTGAGTTTTTCATGCAGGCTGAACACAAAAACAGTCTCCTGCATTAGCTTCTGATAGAAAATAGGTGGTGAAATGCTAGGATTTGAAAAGCCTGACAGATCTACATCAGTAAGGTTTCCCTGTTTTTAAATAATTTTCTTGAGCCAGTATGTGCTAAAATGATCCTTTACAGAATGGGTGTCCAACTCAGGCCCCCGGGCCAAATCTGGCCTGTGGTTTATGGCCCGTTAAATTAACATATCAAATGTGTTTTAGAACTGGCCCGCTAGCTCAATTGGCATAGCAGCTACAATTCCCATAGTCCTTTACAGTGTTAGCACATCTGTCGTAGAGCCCCCTCCTTTCTGTTTACAGTTAATAGCATCCATGCTACCAGTCTTCATCTGCAGCTGTAGCCTTCTCAGACTCAGACAAATTGAAAGCCCTTCTCTTACTGAGCACTGAGTTTACTCTGCAATTTGTCGACTTTAAAGCCAAAAAATGCAGATTTCAACTGCTCAGTAATCTGTTCACGGCTGATGCGGACAGCTCACCAAAACCAAACTTAGTTCAAAATTGATGTAAAAGCCGTTTCAAACTAGCTGTTGCCATCTTGTTCCACTCTGTTGCATCATCTTGCCCACCAGACGAATAGAGGGCCCTGATTGGCCTACAAAGCAGATAAAGCGCTGTGTCTGACCCACTATTGTGGACCAATCCCAGCGCTCTTGAAACCCCTCTAGAGAGCTGTGATCGGCCAACCAGAATGCTGCTAGGGGCTGCAGAGGTTCCAATGGAGCGTTCCTAAACCAAACTTTGCAAAGCAAGAATTTGGTCTAGTTCACTAGACTAGTATACAGTACATGCACATTTTAAGGAATAAAAAGATGTAATATATTGAGACATAACAAATAACAGAAACCTCTGTTTTAGTATAAAATTTTCTTGCTCGTGTGTAATTTGTTTTTTTCCAGTTTCAGTGTATGCACCATCGAAGCCTCTGCGCGGACCCCAGCTGCTCCCAGCTCTGGTCCTATCGGCTAGCCACTCATACAGTAACAATCGTGTCTGTGATCACCCAGCCCACTGAATCTGTGTTTGGGTTTGCCGACACGCTACAGCCTTTTCCTGTAGTCACATGATTCCTCCTCTCTGGATCTTGGTCATTATTGACCAGGAACTAGTCGATAGTAGAGCGGCTAGCCAACAAGCTAGCACTGGAGTCTGCTTCCAGTGTGTTTCCTGCATGTTTCATATCATGAACACAGCTGACTTGTTTAGTTTGGTAATGAGTCGTTCCTGTAGACATTAATGAAGTCTGAGGAGACATTTCAGCTTTTAGATTCAGGTGTTAAAAACATGAACGCACAGTGAGGAGAAGAATACAACAGTTTCATTTTTACGACAGTGAATTAAAACAGACACTAAGGGGTGCTAAAAGCAAGTCAAAACTGCACAGAGTGTTCCTTTAACATTCATGGACTCACCCATCTTGACTTGTGGCGGGAAGGCTGTTGTTGGTTTAGCGTCCAGGAAACAGCAGAGAATGTCTCGACTAGTAGAAGCTAACCATTAGCATTAACAACTCTACCACACAGCAGAACTCCTTCAGGCTTGTGTTATTTGTGGAGATAAAACATCAGTGTTGCAAAACAAAGTCAGTGGTACACTCACATTGCTGTCAGCCAATTAGAGGCAAGATTCATTAACATTTCCTGTTAATTCCTGTCATTTCCTGTTAATTCCTGTGTCATGACTATGGAAAGTGAGGGCAAAAAAGGAAGCATTGAGTCTAAAACTAAGAACAGAAACAAACTGTGTTTTTGTGACTAAATTTTTGTAACAAAGCGCCCAAAGATCAGGCTTAAAACAGGTTCTTCGCTAACGTCATCTGTTGCATCAACACAACACTGTATCAAAACACAACAAATCATAGGAGCTATGGAAAGATGTGAAGGATTCCCTAGGTCAAAGTTACAGACAACAAACATTCACCTGAAAATGATCAGGTGGATGAAAAATGTGGAACAACTGTCTGTATCCAAAGGAAAACCCTGAAAGAAACAGCTTGGTGATCACTGGAAAGTCTGGATCCATGGAGGCAAAATAACTGTGACATGACTTGCGAGCAACATGTTATCGGAGTTAGTAAAAACCAGATCAGAGTTTAAATCCCTTTAGCCTTCAGCCCCGTTTCCTACCTGTAGGTTGATTTGAACTGGCTGCCTCTCCCCGCTCTTAGTGTGTGCCACCCCCTCTGTGTCATACAGGCCCGAGTAAACCACGGACTGTGGGTCTTTAGACTGCTGCTCCAAAGGAAAGGTCACCCCACCCACACTCATGGAGCTGCAGCCAGAAACACAACAAACAGATTTCTCATTTAACAGACAAATAACTAGTTATTATCAGCATGTTTGTTGTTGTTATGTTAACAAATCAGACTGAAGCACATGTTTTATGCCCTGCATTTACTTCAGCAGCTCTCGTGTATCATCCCATATGTGTGTGTGTGTGTGTGTGTGTGTGTGTGTGTGTGTGTGTGTGTGTGTGTGTGTGTGTGTGTGTGTGTGTGTGTGTGTGTGTGTGTGTGTGTGTGTGTGTGTGTGTGTGTGTGTGTGTGTGTGTGTGTGACCTATATTTACATTGGGGAGCTTGTTCAGGCCTATTTAACAAAGTGATAGTCACATATCTGACTCTATTCCTCATTTGCAGATAACAACTGTTTTCATTACATAATCAGGAATTCAGAGTCCTGAAGTAATCTGCTGAGGATTTGTTGTGTTGAGGGACCCTAGATGCATGTAATCAAACAGCTTTATAGCAAACAATTTGTGCATTTTTGGACATTGCTGTGGTCAAGCATCATTTTGCTCTTATAGTTTTATACATCTGACTTTTTCTGAGAGGTGAAGTAGTTGTACAGTTTTATGTACATTATGTGCATGAATGTAAAAACCGATACTGATCATTTCTGATATTACATTTGAATGCCAATATCAGCTGATAACAACAGACATCCCTACTTGTGAATATTTTTGGTTTTAGTAATTAACTATAGGTTAGACAAACTAGCAGTCTTACCAGTTAACTAGCAGAAATCTGAGGCATGATGATGCACTGGCTGGCCATTCTGTGCTGCAATAGTAAAGTCAAAGGATGCATCATAGTTTGTTAATTACAGTTTTAAGATGAACTGGTCGACTTGTAAGAACCTTAGACCATCATCAGTCATCTAATAACCAAAATGTGTGTTCTCTAGTAAATATGTCAGTATTTACTTGTACAACATATATCTACTGGTTTTTTCCACTTGTCCAAAAAAAGCCATCTGAGGCTTTAAATTTTGGTCAACTTTAGCTTAATTTGTTAGCTTAAAATGTGTTATGAGCATTTTTACTCAACTGTTGCAGCAGTGTGTCAAACTATGTGTCCATGAATCAGAAGCAAAATGACGCCGATTTGCTTGTGTACAAATGTTGCCATAGTAGATTATGCCTCAACTCAGTGTTTTTCAGTTAGTACTATTTGTGACAGATCAATTTAAAGCATTATTCCAATACACAAATCAGGAAGCTTGAAATTATAATTTCAATCTGCTTCCTGTTTGTTGATTAGATGTGCAAGGGTTAAATCTGTACCTGTCCTCTTTGGAGCAGATCTCCTAAATTATAAGAGTAGATAATTCAAGGACTGTGACGTGACGGTGAAAACGCTAACTCTAATATTGTATAACGGTTACAAACGAGGCATTCCGACCCCGTATTCCCCTCCGAGTCTATAAATGCGTCCCTGCTCAGGTCAGGGTTAATCCGGGGACTACCTACGTGGCCTGGACCGCTCCTGGCTTCACCACCACCTCGATCTTGTACTTGGACCCGGTCAGCAGCTTGATGGTTCGTGTCTGTCCGAACCGGGCGCCGTCGGATTTGAAGTACACCGCGGTGTTGTTGGGAAGCATCTTCAGGGAAATTCCAATTTTCACGATTTGAGGGACGTCGGCCATGTTTCCATATGGCTGGTGCAGCTCACTGGGATTGCGGGTCAGTTCAAGCGGACAAAAATGTGGTGAGGATGAGCTCGGGCGACATTCCCGCCGCTCCGCAGCGTAATCCAGTGCAACCTGCAACACAGGCCTAATCCCAACCAATGCTCCCTGAAAATATCTCCCTCCCTCCCTCACAACACACTCTCTCACCAGCTGTCCACTCTCATTTTTATCTCTTGGCGCTTTTCGAGCGTTCAACTCCTCTTCCAACGCAAAAAGCGGGGTTCTCTGTCCTTGGTGCTGAAGTGTTCCGTTTCTGGTGCAAAATGCCTCGGGAAATTATTCTATAGAAAAGCCTGTTATGTTATTTAAGGTGTGGGATTTAATCCTATCCAGTAGCCCAAAGATATTTGTTGGATTGCCATTCAAATTGAATTCAAGTGTGAGTTTCCTGACTTTTATGCGTGTTGACCTGTTGCATTGTGCCCATATCGGAAATTCTAAACACGTGACGCCACATTTAGCTCATATTTGAGGAACAAACATTTGACAAAAAGCCAAAGTTTCAGTTGTTTCAGTTAATGATTAAATTTTAGTTTCAGAATTTCACACCGTTTCATTTGTTCCAGTCTTATTCACATGAACGGAGAGCCTCTGATCTAATTAAAATCAGTGTGGCTTTAACATTTATGTCACTAAAGATTATTGTGTAGTTTGAACATGGATGTGATCATATGGAGGATGGAGGAGTCCAGTGGGATGACCATGTCTCTCCCAACTTTAATTAGGAGTTTGTTTTATTTATTTACCAAGTGACTATCAGCATTTGGTACTCTCGCTAAACTTCTTAATCACACATTTGAAAGTCTATAACAAAATGTCTGCAGGGTTGGTCTTGGGTTTTTGGCCATAAGGTAATTTTTTGTTTTAAATGATTTTTCATCCAATTTTGATTTAAAAATAAGCAATAGGGAGTTTGCACTGAACACTTCCTCAAATTGCAAAACTACATGTTGATACCAACTAATTTAACTATCTAAATAATGAGAAAGCCTGAACATCTTCATTAATACAAACTTTTAAAAAACTGAAATGTATTTGAATTGTGTGTTTAATAAGATTAAATCAAACTGAAACTCGAGCTATAGCAGAAAATGTATTACACAACAGTATTATTTATTTTTAAATATGCAATATTTCTATCTTCTGGCTTTAAAATTAAGGATTGTGTTCGCCATCTGCTGGATCAAAACTGTTACTACATGCAGCGTTAGCTGAATACAAAACTCAACAGCACTTCCAGTAGTTTCTTTCTTAATAGATTGCACCACTTATTTACTGCAGGTTTTAAATTAGTGTTCACTTAGTCTAAATACTGGGAATGCCAATACAAACTACTTAACTCCTAAAAACTCAAATCTAATTAAAAATTTCTGTGTTCAACAAGAGGAAAACAAGCTACAGCTGGAGCCATTAGCAGCTAGCTACAAAACACGTTAACTCATTCACTGCCATTGACGACAAGTCATCATTTTAATTCCAAACTTTGAAAAACGCTGGCAGCGAAGGGCTTTACTGATCAGGAAAAGTCTGGCAGTGAAGGAGTTAAGATGAGGCTAAATATTTTCTTCTAAATTGGTTAAAACAAACTTGTAGGACCACATTGAATGACCTAGCAAGCACTACCAGAACATGGGCTTCCTTTTCAATTTTCAAGAAACTCCTGAAGACCCTGCTCTTCAGTGAGCATCTTCTAAACTAGCACCCTCCCAGCACCCGTCCACTCCTTGTTCCCCCTTCTCCATGATTGATGTCAAGTTGTTAGCCTCAAGGGCAACATGCCGATTATCACTTGTAAGTCGCTTTGGACAAAAGCGTCTGATAAATACATAAACATAAACATAAATAAAGCTTTGATAAACATTTCAGACACTGGAAGGCTTTAACTCCAGCCTGGCAAGCCAGATTAAAAATATTTAAATTTTGCAAAACAAATTCCCCATTCTTTAAGGCAACAAAACCAAAGTTTGGAAGAATTCTTCTCTACTTCACAATGCTAATATTCCTAGGAGGGCAAGATTTTTTTTAAAAAAGTTTCATTTATGGAGACTTAAAATTTTGTCTTCTAAATGGCTAATAGTGTATCAGCTTTCAGGCAGAAACTCCACATCTTCCCTTTTCTAAATGCTGCTGGAAACTAGAGTGGTGTTCTAATCAGCAGAGGGTGCAAATTCCTCATTAGATCAAGGCAACTATACCGTGAAAAGATTTATTGGCAGTGTTTTTACTATGCAACTCTTGTTAAAAAAACAGCAGGTAAAACAGCAATTTTTTCAGCTACTGGTTAACCTATAAACTTGACTTTTAATCTGATATTTGGTTTGATATCCACATAATCCGTCAATAAGGGATTTAGGTCAACTGGATAGAAACAGTGACTCAATCCTCTGGTTTGAGACCAAGGATTCTTTCTGCCCTCTGCTGGACCAAAACAGTTACATGTACTGTAGTGTTCATAAAGCTTAACAGAAAACTCAAGAGCACTTTAGATTCCTTCTAAATGAACCAAACCACTAGAAATTACTGCAGGTTAAATGGGTTTTAAGGAAGCTCACACAAACAGTTTTAATGTGTTTATTAGAATATAAGCATGAACAGTCCCCAAACAGGTGGTGCCAAAAATCCAGTTTCATCCTGCAAGGCAAGAAACAAGTGAGGATGTAGACCACCATCATTAGTTCTCATGTAAACTGACCATACCTAGGTGGACCTCAGGTCTCACTGAAAATTAGTTGGAACCATTTGTTGCTGTGTTTGGATTTCAGGCTCAGAAGTAGGGTCTAAAGTTTCCTTGGTGTAGCGGCTGTTAGAATCAAGGTCTCTGGCTCGTTGGTAGCCACTGTTGTACTGGCTGACGAGAGATGAAGGGTACACAGGGGGCTTGTTGAACCAGTTCACAGGCGCCTCACTGGTTCTCCAGGCCTGAGCAAGTGGCATTTGCCGAACTCTCATCAGGATGTTTCCAATTAGGACCAGTTCTGGATCAATTATTGCATGCTGTTGAGACCAGTATCCATGAGCAGATCCAGCAGTTCTGCTTCCATGTGCTTGATGGGATTTATCTGCGCCAGGACCATATCCATGAGTACCAAGAGCATACCCAGGGCTACCGGAACCATATTCATGGGTAGCAGTAACATACCCAGGACCATGGCCATAGGGAGGAGATTCAGTTGCACCATAACTGTAAGGATGTGATCCTTCACCTGAGCCATAACCATAGTGAAATCCAGAAGCATCATAACTGTACCCATAGGGAGGAGATCCATGGATGCCACCATAACTATAATAAGGATGTCCCATGCTGCCACTACCATAAATGTATGGATAGGATCCAGCACCAGCATATGGCATTTTATGAAAGTAGGGAGGCCCATACCAGGTACTGGATGGTTCTGAGTCAAAGCTTCCAGTGTGTTGATTTCGCCATCTCTGCTCTGAGAAACCATGTTTTTGGTTCTCGAATGGACCAAAGTGGAAGACCTTAGGAGAAATATCACTCTGACTAGTTAAGTTGGAAGTCTTATTTTCCCTTTCCACAGTGTATGGAGCCATTTCTTCAAGGCTGGACTCATTTTTAGAGGGTAAAAACTCAAACTCGGGGTCTGAAATCTGCGAAGAATCTAAGCCAACAATGGTTGCGTTGTCATCTGTGTGGCCATCTTTGTAGTCTGTGGAAAGCACATTTAAGGCAGGTTATGTGATTAAGTATCAAACTGCAAAGAAGAAAGCAAATGGAAGCATTAACAAAACTAGGGACAGCTTAGAAAACAAAGACATCCATGCGATTTGTGTGAAGAGTCAGAAATCATGACTCACCTGCAGGAAAACAACTCCCAATTCTAAAAAGCAGAAAGAGCCAAAAAAGCCTGTAAAGTAGACAGAAATGATCTGGGTTTAGTTAGTCATTATTCAACTGGTTTGATAAATAAAAGAATAACTGACCTTAGATAAACTCCTTGGTGCATGCTTGTCTCTGAAGAGAACAACTTACACCAAGAACCAAGAGATCGCGTTTAAACACAATTTGGCCCTAATCACCTCATTGAACACACCTGTAGCTCTTCTTCTTCTGGTGTTTAATGGTGGATGGCATCTAACTTTTAGGTGCATTTCCACCACCTGTTGTGCTGGAGTGTGCAGAATATAAGAGCAAACAGCACATGTAGCTAAATCAGAACACCCATCTTCACATCTTCATGTTTTGGCATTTTATGGCCGTTGGGAATCAATGTGAGGTCCACCTACCAATCTGGACTGAGGACCAGCACTTCTCTCCCACCCTCATGATTTATAGAGTGATTATATTTATTTGATGATGGGTTCTATTATACAACACTTCCATTTATGCTTTTATGCCTAACAGGTTGGTTTCTATGTTGATCTTGTGATAGCCACTCTTTACAGCATCTGTACTGTTGTTTTATCACTTTGCTGTTAAGAAGCACTTTGGGAATTTTTTTAATGAAATGTGCTATACAAATAAACATTACTTACTTACTTACTTATTGACTTACTTTTTAACTTACTTACTTACTTTTTACATACTTATTTACGTACTTACTTATTAATTTGCTTACTAACTTCTTTGCTTACTTATTTATTTACTTATGTACTTACTTACTTTTTTACTTAGTAATTTACGTACTTACTCGTTAATTTACTTAGCTACTTAGTTACATACTTACTTATTTACGTACGCACTTACTTATTAATTTACTTATTTATTTACCCCCAAATCCTCCTCCCCACCCCCATCTAAACCAAAAACCTCAACAAGCATTCCCCTTGATGCATCAGTACACCTTCATGTACCCTTGACACCTATCAGTCAACCTTTGTGCTATCCCCCACTTCACCTACATCCTACCCTACCCTCGCTTCCCACCATTCCCAAATCCAGTCCTACATCTGGCCACAGCCATAGTGACACCGCACTCACCTTTGGATCCGCAAATCGGAAAGAAGTTACTTTACATTTTTAGAATATTTAAAGACTTTGCCCTCCAATTGTTCGGTAGAATATGACATATTTTTTCTAAAAAAAAACAGTCATGACTAAGGTGTTGTTGCCAAAATATCAAATTTCAAATCTTAACTTTAAGATTTCAAAATTACATTAATAAAACTGTGTCCAGCCGAGACCACATTATTTTCTCTACTGTCCATTAACACTTCATTAGTATAGTGTGTCTGTGTGTGTGTGTGTGTGTGTGTGTGTGTGTGTGTGTGTGTGTGTGTGTGTGTGTGTGTGTGTGTGTGTGTGTGTGTGTGTGTGTGTGTGTGTGTGAGAGAGAGAGAGAGAGAGAGAGGGGGGGGGGGGGATCAGCATCTTAACTGTAACTGTAGAAAATGACAAAGTGAACTGAAAGAAAAACCGGTGTATTTTCTTTATTAATTCGTTTATTTTGGAGGAAACTCTTGAGCACGTTTTTTTTATTTAGGTCATGACGTCGAGACCATATGTCGTTGATCGAGACCAAATAGTTGGAATAAAATCTAAGAAAATATTGTTGTGCGTGATTGAACATTATATTTTTTATGTAGTATAGTACAAGAACAGTATTTTATTTTATTTTATTTTTGTTTGGTAGTTACCTGCCTGATCCGGTTGGTGGCGGAAGTGTACCGAAGCGCAGCTGGTGGCCACCCACCTTCAAACCGAAGAAGAACGCCGCTTCCAGCCGTTTAGATGTTGGTAGCCGTGTCAGTTTAAATGTTATTTGTATCTCTGCTCCCTTTTCACCGAACAAACGGAAAATAAAACACACATACCACTTTATGTAAGTATTATTACGCATCAATTACAGACAATATATACAGAAAGACTCGTTAAACATAACTAGCTTTTACGTAATGCTCCGAATGTTTACGACTGACAGGCTGTTTCAGAAGCTAACATCATTATTTCCCACACTTTTGTTTTTATTACTGCTAATAAATAAATTGTGAAATATTTGCTGACATAAATCGTCTGCTTTTTGTGTGGCTTACTAAAATTTGACAATTGTTTTTGATAAAATAACCGTTGTCAATCCAAATTCTTCGATTTGTCCATTTTTATGTCTTCACGCTCTTAGCTTGCTAAGAGAATGTTGCTTGCTACAGTTGCCTCATGCTTAACACAACAGACTGGAAACAGGTCACCCTGAATTTATTTCTGTTCTTGACTTGTGACGTGTGGTTTAGGGTCAGCTGGTTTATTTGAAGTTTCCCTATAAATCGCAGTGAAATCACTTCTAAACTGAGTATATTGTGAAGTGCTTTTCTGTTGTTTTTATCAAAAACCTGCACCAGGATCTGTAGAAATTGTCACACGTGTAACTGCACAACAAAAACAACTATAGTTATTGTGTAAAATCCTTTGAGAGCAAACCTAAGTGTCATGCTTAGTGATAGTGTAGCATCAGTGGCATGACTGTAAAGGTTGGTTCTTTGGCAGCTTTAAACTTGTTAACAGAAGTCTTTCTGTTTCACAGTGACCTGAAAAGCCACAGTAATCTGCAGACATGGGGGCCTTGATATCCCGATGGAAGGTATGTGATGTAGAGCACTGGCATAGATTTGTTAATGACATTAGTGGGGATAAATCTACCCCACCCACCCCCCCACCCACCCCTTTTGTGTTTTTTTTTCTCTTTAATCGATAATGGAAGTTGAGCAAATTTTTTTGTTTAGGTCATGACAGCGAGACCATATGTCGATTTACTACATATTCTATTCTACATACTTAATTGTAATGTTAAATACATTTTTTAGCTAATGACTGTTGAAAAAGTGAATTATTATTGTATTATTGTTAGTCAGGATTGTTTAAAACTTAATTTTTTTTCTTTTCTGATTATTATTTCATGTGTCAGGCTTTAAAGGATCAACCGTCTCTCTAGGCTGATAATATCTTTGCACAAGGCTGCAGATTTCTGTCAGAGTCTGAATGGAAGTTAGACTCTGAAAGAGAATCATGATTAACATGGTTATCTAGTTCTCCTTCTCTCTCAGAGAAAGGTAAATCATACCTGCTGTTTGCTGAGCGCTAAAGCCTAGCACTGCCAATAACGTTATTATGACCTCATTTCATTAGCAAACTTAACTTTAAGTGACTTACGCGATTCTTTTGAAAATAGCTCCTTATGTCCTCAACCTCCTCTTGCATATGAACGTTTTCCTTTGAGCTTTGGCACTGTTAACAACCGGCGTAGTTTGTCTCTCATGAGTCTCCCATGGCAGCATGTGCAGCCAGTCACACTGGCCATATGCACTACAGAGGTAGGATTCGAGGAGAGAACGTCATTTAACCCTTTCTGCACATCTAGGATAACTAGACATTAGCAGGCTTTTTTTTCCCAGCAGAGCGAATTATTGGTGGGGTCTATTCAGCCATTGCTGGATATTGGTGGGGACACGTCACCTCTGTCCATGCCAAATCTTTGCTCTTGATGTAAATAATTTAAGAGTAATTTTGAAAATTAAAATCTGAACCTACAAGAACAAAATATATTTTTAAAGAATTTAGTTGATGAGGGCTCCTGAAACTCAAATGACTCACATTTAGAAGGTTTATCACAGCAATGTTGATGAACAGTGTAACAAGGAAAACCCCATACATACAAACAAACAAGCACTTTTAGTCAGGTTTTATCTCTGAAGTCTTATTCCTCATTACAATGATTGGATTAGAATGGGTGACAAACATCAGATTTTAATCTGTCAGTGTAAATAATACGTTGGCACATTAATGGCTTGTATTTCTCCTTGGTAAGACAGTTGGCTTTTGAAATATGAACACACTGAACTTTACTCTTTAGCTAGATGAAGAACAGGTACTATTTTAAACACATTAGATTGGACACTTCCCAAAACTAGAGACAGGAATAGAAATTGATCAGCCTTTGGATTGTGTCTAGTTATAAGAAACCTGACATTTGCTTTCCCCTGTTTTAAATAGTATTTAAGATCTTGAGAGAAACAGTACAAATCAGTCATCTTTGTTAGCTTTGAATCTGCTTGCTTTGAGTTCCACAGGAAGGACAAAGGTAATCACACCGGTGAGGATTTGATTGGTCTTTATTTCCATTTCAGACTAAACCAACTACAGTTGAGCGGCTGGAGAGTCTGGACAAGGTACTGATCATCTAGGGATGTACTTTGAACTGAGCTCTGTTAAATACAGGGTTATGAATTTAGTTTCTTTTCTCCCCTGTAGGAGATAAAAGACCTGGAGGAGTTCAGAGCCAAAAACCAGCGTCTACAAAAAGTAAAATCTGCACAACAAAGACGCGTGAAATACTCGAGCTGAATTTTCTTGATCCTAATCTCTTTGTATCTGTCTGCAGCTCTGGGTTGGCGGCCTGCTCCTCTACTCGTCCGCCTTGTACCTGTGTACCTCTTTCATCGTCTACTGTCTCTACCTGCCTGATGAGTGGCTGCAGAGATTAGCCATGGCCCTGCCTTTCTTCTTGTACCCTGTGCTGTGAGGGCAATTATCCATGATCATTTATAACCTTCTACGTAATATAAACATGTCCTGACACCTTGTTTTGTTTTATTTTGAAGTTCCAGTAAGCTCAACGGTGTCCTGGAACAAGTTGAAATGTTTGACTGTTGCTTTATTTGATACAACTGTCCCAACTTGTCTGTATTTTTCCCAGTGTGTGGCTCATCAGGAAGCTTTTGATTTTCCTCTTTTCCAAACGCACTGAAAGAAACAGTAAGTTCTCCCTCAGTTTAAGCTAAACCTTCATACAAGCGTTGGACTACACAAATGTCAAATGTACTTTTATTAGTCTAGTCTAATAACACAACACTAAATCTGTATTCTCATGACTTGGTTGAATATCTCCCACCTGTCAGATTTTCAGAGCTAACATGAAGTTTTTCCACTTTTTTTTTCTAGATGATAAACTTGAGGACTTAAAAGCCACTAAGAAAAAGATTGTAAGTAATTATTAATCAATTTGTTTATTTTATTTATTTTTTTATTACTGTGACTCTTTAGCCCAACTCTCTTGTCTTTCTTCTTCATGTGTTTCTACCTTTAAGATTTGTGTTCCTTTATTTCTTCCCAACAGCAGAAAATAGTTTTGTAGGTTTGCGGTTTGCTCTCTGACTTTTAATATTGTTTACTTTCTGATCTATGATTTAGGTTTTCTCTGTTTTTCCTTTCATTTCTCTTTAGTTAGAGGAAGTGATGGAAACCGAGACGTACAAAAACGCCAAACTCATCCTGGAACGCTTCGATCCGGAAACTAAAAAGAAAGCTGTGGGTGTCGATTGTTTGACCTTACGGTAAATTTCAGTCGTCTTTGGCTTTCATTCAGTAACCGTTTTGTGTTGTAGGAACTGGAGTCGACACCAGTGCGATCTCCAGTGGCCCCTGGTCCAGGTCAAGGTACGCGGCACGTCATCACACAGCTGAAGGACTTCGATTAGATCATACACAGCTATTGGCCTTGTAAAAGCAGATACAGTTAATCAGGAATTTATTTATTTCTGTGCAGAAATACGCCAGAGGGGTGTAGCAATGAGACCCATGCCGTTGGGAACCCCAGCTGGAATGATGACCCCCCCACCTGGAGAACGGCCGATGATGGGGCCAGGGGGGACGCCTATGGGTAAAGAGATGAATCATAACACTCATGCCAGTTAGTGAAGGCTCCAGTGGGAGCTTGATTCATTTCTGAGAAATATCCTCCTACGTCTAGGTCCTAGACGTGACAGGAGCATATTATGGACTATTAACTCATTCACTGCCAGCCGTTTCCTGATCAGAAAAGCCCTTTGCTGCTTGGTTTTTCAGCGTTTTCACAGTTTTTTTAAGAGTCACACCAAAACAAAGAGGAGACTCACCTCTTACATCAGGAAGAATCGGCACGTTTCGAGCTTTATCTGTTCTTTCATAATCCGTTGTTGAATTGTGATCGGCAGAAATTTTTCCGGTTCGTGCCTCACTTTTTTTACAGCAGCGGTCCAAAAAGATCTCATAACACTGGATTTTCTGCTTCCTGATCACGTGACGTGTGACGTGTGCAGATGAAGATCGGCTTTAGAGCTGGGATGCTTGTTCTCACAGTGTGGGGACTTGTTCCAACGGCCCACACAGTAAAAAAAAAATGCAAATGATGACTTCAGTTCCCAGTGGCAGTTAATGAGTTAATGATGTGATGGATGATATCTGGACCCTAGGTTGTGGAACAACAGTCACAGAGCAGCTGAACTGGTGAATCGGTTCACAGATTTTCCTTTGGGTGGTTTTGGATGTTTTTTTTTTTTTTTTATTTGATGCTGAATGTGTTCCTCTCCCAGCTCCAGGAGGACCTCCGGAGAAATCCACGCCTAATGCTCCTGTTCTCCACGGTGCGGTACCCAGAACTCCCTGTTCCCCTATTCCAAGCATAGGTCAGTGTTCGTGGCTTACTTTTGCACAAGTAACAGGAATTTATGCCTTTTCATATTGTCCTTTTTTTGTATTTGGTCTCTGAGTGATTCTCTAACTGTAGCTTCAACTCACAAGCAAAATGAAACAAATTGTTACGATTCATGTTTGTTGTTCAGCTATGCCTTAGCTACCACTCATGGAACATAAAACTTATTTGATGCCATTAAAGTCGAGGATATTTCAATAAAGCAAGCCCCTCTTGAGAAAATTATACACGTGTGAATAAGTGAAGATTGTGTCAGTGATCCATTTTGTTTCTCCACGTGTGAACTTTATTTGCAGGTTTGCATCCCCCAGGCCCCCCGTTAGCGAGACCCATCCTGCCCAAAGACAGAGGAGCGGTGGACAGAGTCATTGAATATCTGGTGGGAGACGGACCACAGAACAGGTATTATTCATTTAGCAGCCTAACGGGTCTGAAGTCAGAGGGCTTTTGGTCGTTTATGTTTAGTATATTGTTGGATTTTTATAAGCCATTAGAAACAGTTCTGTGATGGAAGCATGTTTCTTTAAGTGTAAGGAAAAAATATGGATCATTAGGTCGTAATAACATGTTTCAGAATGTTCTGGTAGAAATATGCTTCTGTAGAATGAGAGGTATTCTTTTCTGTATTTGACTATTGAAGAAACTGGACACTGACGTCAGGAGATTTTTCTAGTTTTGAACTAATGTATTATTTATTTATTTATTTATTTATTAATCAATAGCTGGATTTCTTGAGAACAGTTTATAGAAAGTACTGTATTTTCCGGAGTATAAGTCGCTCCGGAGTACAAGTCGCACCAGCCATAAAATGTATAATGAAGAAGAAAAAAACGTATGTAAGTCGCACTGGACTATAAGTCGCATTTTGGGGGGAAATTTTATTATTTTTCTTACAAAATCTGAGACCAAGCATTTCACATTGCAAGACAAGTACTGGTAACAATAACAGAAGAAACAATCAGGGCGCAGCAGCGCGCCACAGTCTCCAGCAGAGGATGGCGGTGTTTCAAACCCTCCCAGCGGGCGGAGAGAGCTCGTTCCTGGGCCAGAGCCGGCCCGCAGCAGCTCGCCACAGCCTGCAGCAGGTGACGGCGGGGCAGAGGAGCTTGTTCCTGGTCCGGAGCCGGCCCGCAGCAGTGCGGTATACATAATTTGGTATATAAGTTGCTCCGGAGTATAAGTCACAGGACCAGCCAGACTATGAAAAAAAGTGCGACTTATAGTCTGGAAAATACGGTAGTTGTTAAAGGTAAAACGTTACAATTTCACTTTGCCTTTTACTGCCAGATTAAATATCAACCACCACAGAAACTTAAACAGGAGGAAACAAAACCACATGAAACCTTTGTTATTGTTTTCCTTTTTGCCTGTGGCTCTGAAAATAACCAAACAATAATTATTAATTCTGTTTCCCTTTGTTCTATCCTGGTTTTTATTGCAGATACGCGCTGATCTGCCAGCAGTGCTTCTCTCATAACGGCATGGCTCTCAAGGAAGAGTTTGAATATCTGGGTAGGAACATGTAATTAGAGTTTAAACTCAAACAGGCTTCTTCCGTATTTGTTGTTTCCTCATAATCTCTGATTTAATTCCTCCCCCTCCAGTGTTTCGTTGTGCCTACTGCTACTTCCTGAACCCAGCCAGGAAGACCCGCCCTCAGGCTCCCCGACTCCCTGAGTTCAGCTACGAGAGGAGGCTCAGAGCAGAGTCTCGTTCCTCCAGACCGGCGCCACGCTCTGGGACAGACACAGAGGAGAGTGCTCCCCCTTCTGGAGGTACTGGAAAACACAGACAACTAAACACAAAAGCTCCACACACAGGAAAACACCAAAAAGGAGACAAGATCTAAACCATAGAAATGAGAAACGTCAAGACAGTCTTTTTGTTTATTTTTATTTAAATTAACATCTTGTTCTAACTTCCTGTGAGTGCATTACTTCATTGTGAAGTTCTGATCTTTTCTCACCTTCATTACTAGTTTTGCTAAGCTTCATGTGCTTCATTTCCAGCACAGCTGTAGGCAGTCAGTGGTTTAACAGTGTGATTTTGCCTCTAGCCAAAACTCAGACTCCATGGAATTTGGTCCACAGTTTCTCCAGTTTCCAGATCCAACAGAGTCCAAAGAATCCTTCGAATCGATCCCTGCAGAGTCCAGGTTCCCCTGCCTCTTCTCTCCTGACCTAGTCTCAGCCCACCCTCATGTAGAATTCTCCTTAATGGATCTGTCTTTAATTAAACCCAATCAGCCATGTCAGCATCTGTTGAAGATCAGAGGACCAGACTTGGGTCAAACAGAGGAAACAAACACCTGCTTACATCATTACACCTGTAGACAGGTACTAGAGTAGTTTAAAGGCTGTTTATTTCCACTATTAGCAGATCTAATATTGTGAAGAAATGATTGTTTAAACAAATTCAATATAAACCTGTTTGACTCAGATCTGGTTCTAACTGCCAACAATCCTCTGTGGTTCTTTAAAGGTGTGGAACACTGAAAAAACGTTTTTAAATGGTTATTCTGATAATTATTGATCATGCTGAATTTTTCATGCAGGCTGAACATGAAAATAGTCTCCTACACCTATCTGCTGCATTAGCTTCTGATAGACAATAGATGGTGACACTCTAGAATTAGAAAAGCCTGACTGATCTACGTCACTTAATATCTAGGCTAGTAGAAGCTAACCATTAGCGTTAGCAACTCTACAACATGGCAGAACTCCTTCAGGTTTGTATTATTTGAGGAGAAAAACTATCAATGTTGCAGAGCAAACAGGCAGTGGTAGAGTCGTGTTGCTGTTAGCCAATCAGAGGTGAGATGTGCAAATATCAGGAAGTAAGACTTCAAATACTGCCGTGCTCAACTCGCCTTCTATGTGGCATTCTGCTAGTTCCTGGAATAAGTGCACCTGAGCCCACTGCTAATGTATTGATGAAACGAGTGTCCCACACCTTTAAAATATTGATTGTAGTCTAATGATGCTTTTATTTACACTGCAGTTTGTTCATTGTATTTGTATTCTTCACATAATCTGAGTTTAATCCTTTTCCTCAAAGCAAAAATCACAACCCTACATGTCTACCTATTTCTTCTTCCACAGATTAAATGTACCAATCAGTTACTGTTCACCAACTATTGAAATAACCTTAATCTCACTGGGTTGAAACTCTGGTAACTAGTTACAGCATTGGGAGATAATCTCACATTTGTAGTTGATTTCACACAGAATGTATACGTTTGACACATTAGTGACAGGTTTTATATGTCGCTGGACCACATGGGCTTAACATGACTGAGAACAAATAACAGTTAATGCAAAAGCTATTCACAGTAGTCGTTTCAACTTATGTGTCAGTTTTATTTCTGTTTATCTTGATTTTATTGTAAATTCATCTTTTTAAACCAAGTTCACAGTTTTAAAAATGAGCTAGAATTAAATAAATACAAATGAATAAGAAATGAAAAAGCTAAATAAATAGATTACCGGTGCAACTCTTGGAATAGTGTTTCCGGATCTGATGTTGCTCCGTTCCATTTGGACTCAGAAATTCCCACCTCATCCCAACATGGCGGGACACTGATGTCCTGGAAGCCATCAACAAAGCCCTCCAGCCTCTGTTTGAGTTTACTGATGCGCTGTCCAGTGAGAAGTATGTCAGTATTTTTTTTGTGAAACCAGTCCTTCACCTGTTCAGCTCCTCTATCCTCAACCTAAGCGAAGATGTGGCAGACCTGAGCAGCACCATCAAAACCAAAATCCTCACTTACCTGGAGGAAAAATACAAGGATCCAGCGACACAAGAACTGCTTGACATGGCCTCTGCACTTGATCCACGCTTCAAGCTGAGATATGTTCATGAGGGCAGTACTGCATCAATTCAGGAAAGAATCCTGTCGGAGATGGCTACCTCTGCAAGCATGGTGAGGAGTAATTGTAAACACAGGTACAGATTTAAAAAAAAATAAAGATATTAAGTGGATTTTAATATGCTGAGATGACATAGCTATGCTGTGATCTGAATATGGACTTTTAAATATGTTTCATTACAAAGATTCTTTGTTTATACTTCTTCTACAATGCACTTTTCAAGGAAACAGGCCCAGCGGGTACAGGTGGGGGAGCTGCTGAAGATGCACCCAGTACATCTAAAAAAAAAAGAAGAAGACCTTGGGGAGCTTCTTCAGGGGCACTGGGGTCACAACACCGAGACCCTCCTTACCAGGAACAACAGGCTGTTGCCTCTTAGCTCCAGTCTTACCTACAGTGTGCCAACCTTGACAGTGAAGGGGACCCACTGGACTGGTGGAAGGAACATCAAAGACTCTACCCACGTCTCTCAAAGCTGGCTCACAAGTACTTGTGCATTCCTGCAACAAGTTCCCCATCAGAGAGTCTTTAGCACTGGGGGAAATGTAGTGACCTCGTCTCTCAAGCCAGATAATGTTGACAGGCTGGTTTTTCTTGCCAAGAACCTGTAAGCCTAATTTCCTGAGTCTTCGCTGTTCACAGAAGGCCTTTTCTGTACAAGCTGAGATTCTGTTAAGTTGCACTTTGTTATTCAGTTAGCACTTTGAAATATAAAAGCATATGAGTTTTTTGGATTTTTTTTTCATCATTTATAATTTCTTCTAAAATGTCATTGTTCGTAGAAAAACGTTGCAACATTATTTGTAATTGGTGCAATAAAAAGACCTATTTTACCAGATAGGATGAAAGATCATGATTAATAATCATGATTAAAATATTGACCAAAATAATTGTGATTATTATTTTGGTCAAAATCGTGCAGCCCTAGTTTCTAGCTTTCAAACAGCATTAAGAGTGCCTTTCACACACTCGTTCACAAACGCCTAGGACGAATGCGCTCACTTTAATGTCATCAGTCAAAATACGAATGAGTTCAGTTTATGTTCACGAACGATTGTTCAATGAACTTGTTCAGACACAAAACAGCCGTGACTCATACGAGGAAATAGAGAAGTCTTATTAGGGATGCACGATATATCGGTATCGGCCAATATCAGTCATTTTTGAACATATCTGTATCGGTCCGATAAGTAAAACTCGGCCGATATTAACAACCAATATTTTTTCCATCTTGTTTCCGTTTGTGTATCTATTTCATAGGGTAAGGGGGGTGATGATGTGTAATTTTTTAGTGCTGTGACAGTGATGGTAATCATCTCAGAAGTGTAAATTTGTGTGGTGTGTGTGTGTGTACATAATAACATATTGCAAATTACACTTTATAGAAATAAAGTGTGCCCATCAGGGCACTGGATGGCAATTCCTCCCCCAAACACACACACACACACACATTTTTTTTAATTCCACTTCACGGGCAATATAAAGAACCTAGTGCAATATTATTATGTACATATTGTTAGCTTGTCTTTCACACCTTGTCAAGGTGAAATGACTGGTGCACAGGTTTCACGTCCAATACTATTTCTCTTATTCTATTTTTGTATGTTTTTATATGTTTTTTATTTCCTTTATAAAAATAATTTTCAATACAATTTTGGACACAGGGACTGCATCTAATCTTGTTGTACTTGTTGCAATGACAATTAAAGGATATTCTATTCTATATTCTATAGAAAAATAGCAAAACATGAAAAAATTCAACTTGCGTAATTTCAGTCTATACAAAATTAGCTGATTCCAGAAGCGTAAATCGGTATTGGCAAATATGGGTTATCGGCCTTAACAGTGATATTAATATCGACCCCAAATTTCCATATCGGTGCATCCCTAATCTTCATCCTTGGACATTTAGGGGAAGCCCCACATGTTTGCTGCTGTGGTGAAAGGCCTCAACCCCGTGAGATTCTGGTTTAAATCAGATCAAATCTTTCTGTTGTCGGTTTGCTTCTGCATTCTCTTTAGTCAACTAAATATCAGTTTTCTATCAAGTTAACTAAAAACCTGTTTTTCACCATGTGAAGTACACAACTGTTGAAACGTAATTTTACTTTTCACTAAAACTTCTGATAATTTACTAATGGAATGTTTCCGTTGATCCATCTTTTTTTTTATTCTACAAATGTTGGGAAGAGAATCGCTTAGAAAGAGGTAGATTTGGGAATTATGACTGCAACACCCACTAGACTGCATGCTCTTTATCCATTGTCAACAAAAACCAATGGAATGCTGTAAAATTTCACTAAACCTACCTCACACACCTGTTCTGTACTCGTTTATAGTTTTATGATACCAACACATCTTCTCTACAGATGAGAAGGAAGCAGGAGAAGATGGAAGCGCCACCAAAGATGTAGAGATGGAGAGTCAGACGGAGGACCAGCAGCAGCTGGAGCAGGAAGCGGAGGAGGAATTAGGGCGGTGTCCCAAAACTTCCTGTGAGACAGAACCTGTGTTGTCGTAGTTCAGAGTCCAGAGAAGAAGAAAAAAGGTGAAAGTTGTGTCAGATAAACACCATGATGGACGGTGCCATTCAAAAGCAGCGCTGATGGAAACTACTGTAACTCACAAAAGTCGTCCACCGGTTCTGCCTTAAATCACCTTAAAGCATGGTGTCAGGGGAAGGTTTAGTTGTAATCTACAATCCTTGATTTTGCTTTATAGGCATAAGGTTTACACTATAAGGTTATTTTAGGTTTAAAGCACATGAATTATTAATGAAAACCAATTAGTTTGTCCTCTAATACAGATTTCAGCCACTGCCTAGAATGTTGCTACCATTTCATCATCCATACAAAGCTTCTAAAGACAAACACCACCAAGTAGCACGATGGTTTTTACAGTATTTTCATCATTCTTTAGGTTTCACGGTGCTGCAGTGGAGCTTCTCATGTAGTAGTTTAGCCTAGCATTTTAGCTTTCCAACTAGCATAAATTAGCGTGTGCAGATGAATTTTTTTCTGCTGAATATTAAAGGTTTTGACACCAGATTAACTCAGAGACATGAAGAATGCGGTCCTAAAACCTGAACGTGAAGATGAATCCATCTGCAGAAAGACGAGGTAAACGACAACGGGTACTCTACTTGTTTGTTTTTATTATTTGTTTTTATTTTTTATTGTGGGCTACCATTAAACCATGTGAGGAATTGTATAAGTTAATGACATTAAAATTCTATGTTTACTCTAGAATTTATATTATTTCTAAGACGCTTCCCCAAAATTTAACAAAGACTGAAAACACTCTAAAAGTATTTATTGTTTTAAAAGGCTGCTTATTTGTGGAAAAGGCTTCAGATCAGTGGCTCAACAATTGACACTGAAATAAGGAAAACTATTACACACCTCTGCACAGAAATAAGCAGATTTAGAGGAAGTTAGTTTGATTAAGAGCTGAAAGCTGTGGTTTTATCTGGTTTTTAATTCTGGCTGATGTTAACGAGCTGCAGAAACTATGAAGGTGAAGCTAAATGTCTTGTGTTTGGCAAAACTGAAACTGAAGCTAACAATTTTACTTCTGTTCTTCAAAGGAGCCATATCATGGACAATCTACCTTTTGGAGCTTTTTATCATGTAATATTGTCATTTCCTCATGAAAAATACCCTCAAACTGGCTGCATTTGTGCATTTTCCTGTCTCAGCTGCAAGTTTTCAGATTTTTGGGAAAAGTCTGCAGAAGCCCAGATCAGGGTTACTCAACCCTGGTCCTCAGCGCCCCCTGTCCTTCATGTTTTCCGTGTTGTCCTTTCAAACACTAGTGTTTCTCTACTGTCACACACCTGACTCAAATTAATGACTGATTAACGTGTTTCTGCAGCACTTGATGTCCTCCTGAGGAGGCTATTCAAATATGTAAATCAGGTGTGCTTGAAGCAGACACAACATGCAGGACAGGGGGACGCTGAGGACCAGGGCTGAGAAACCCTGGCCTAGACGGAAACTAGAGCCTGCCGCACACGAGAGCAAACTGCTGAGCAAATGGCCTCGAATCACCATTTGCTCAGCAGATACCTCACTGTGCACACCTGATTTTCACTGAGTTTTCTGCCTCACGGGGGGTAAAAACTCACCGTGTGTGCACTACGTGAGTTTATTTAGTCAGTGTGCGTCTATGTGAGGTGAGCTGAGTAAATCAACTCAAATGCTGCTTGGAAATGACCAAATTCAAAGATCTTTAGAGGTATATATATATCTCTATATATATAGATATATATATAGATATATATATATAGATATATATATATATAAGGAAAGCTAACTAAATACATTACTGCAGACACAGGGAGTTGAACCGGTGTCAGGACATGGCAAAACATGAAAGGGTTATGTGTAGGAAATTTCATCATCACCAATAGAGCAATTGACTTGCCTAAGATGCTGTTGTAGGGGTATTTGGTTGGAGTGGGTGTGGGCAGAGCTTCACTAAAACAGACCAATTCATTTCCAGGTACAAATTCAGGCTGACAAAAATAACTAATATTTAAGATTCAATGACATCTCGGTAGTGCCAGTGGTAACATTTTATCATATATTATTCCTGCCCTTGCTCTCAAAGATGTAAAATAGCATGATATGGCTCCTTAAGGAAAACTGTTTGCCAAAATCCATGTTGTTTTCTGTTTTTTGGGATTTTATAGTCTCTATTTATTTATTTGGCCCGATTGTGTTCTAAAGTCTACTTGCACTGTTTGGAGTGGTAACGTATTAACTTTTTAATTTTTAAGTAAATATCTGATTTGTATTCTGCAGCCTTGATGTTGGTAAACATTAGAATGGGATTGAGTCTATAAAGACTCTTCTAGTGCTGACATTCATTCCAGATGTTTCCTGTAGGTATTTGGTGCCAACATGATGTGTGCCTTGGTACGTCTGCCTGTTTACAGTCCAACAGTTTTTGTTTAGTTGCTGTGTGGAAAATATGAATGAATTTAGCCTGAGCTAGTAGTGAGTTAGTGAAAGTCTACGCAACCATTGGTGTTTTAACATGTAAAGGTCTGGCAACACATTGTGAAGCTTTTTAGGCTTTTATTTGGAATTTCTTTTAAAATGGAAGAGATAAAAGTGGGGTATGAAGGTTTTCACTCGATTTCCTGAAGAATGCTGGGATTTTTTTAATCCACCCTTTTGATTCATTGTAGCTTCACATTTGTATTTTTATTTCCCTTCATCACAGCTTAGTTCCCCCCTTAAAATGCAGTTTCTTCTGCATGATATTAATTAAAACATTTTATTGCTGGTCCAATTTCTCAGGTACGTTGGTGTACATGCTTTTTTGTGTGCTTGGCACGCCTAATAAAGTTTTTCTGCAACAGACGGGCAACACTTGCCTTTTATGATTCTTTTTGTGTTTATTATTCAGTTTAAATAAGTCTAAAGGATTTTTGTGTGTTCAAAACAAAGAATTTTGTTTTTAATAATTCAAAACAAAAACATTTCTTTACATTTCTTTTTACTTGTATGCAATAATAAACCCAGTTACATAACCTTAACCCCACATGAAATAATAAACCTAAATAATTACACACATATGCATTGATATTATAATACATTGCTTATTTAATACCAAATCAGAATTTACTGAATCACATTTGGACCAAGCTTGTTGAATTAAAGCTGTGAGGAACAACCTTCCTGATTTCTGATCAGATGAAGCTTGTTTGATTCAAATCTTCACGTCTACCAGAATGTCCAACTGAGACTTCTCAGTTAAAGGTAGATTTTTAAAACTAAACCACCGAACCCCACTCTAGACAGCTAAAACTCATAAGAGTCAGGCAAAACCAAAAAAATCAAACTTCCAGATAGGAAATATTTGCCTGCATCAAGAAAATAAGATCAAATTATTATGAAACTCACAAACAAGAAGAACTCAGTTATTACTTTTACATCAGAGTTACATGATACACACATATGAAAGTGACGGCAACAATTACAAACTACAAAACCAAACAATGTGTTTGTGGTAAGAAAAGTTTCAAGTTTGAACCATTTTATATCAAGAGACCCATCAGTAAGGATGTCTGCTTATGAAATCTCCACCTCAGTAAATACAAATGTGACATACGTGTGAGAGTGGTTTAAAACCAACTCAGCCTTTGTGTGTAGAAAACACACACACACACACCTGCTAAACACTTGTGGTGTATCTAATCTGAGTGAACAGATGTCCTTTTATGGGTCACAGCATGTTGAGCTCAATGAGTCTCCCGGCGAAGACAGCGAGCGTCCCGATGATGCACACGGCCATAAACACACACAGCAGGATGTGGTCCAAAACCATGGCAACAAACTTCCACTCCTCCGATGCCTGCGTTAAAGTGAGAGGAGTCAGATTTTAGTTTGAACAGCAACAGAATAGTTTTTTTATTTATCTGTTTGTAACACTAAAAGCAGAAGAGGTTTTGAGGTGAAAGTGTTGCAAAGCAATTCCCCACGAGGACAACAGAGAGCGTAGCACTTTTCTGGGGTATCCTGCTACCATTACAGTCATGTATTCTGTCCAAGATAGTACATTTAGAATTGTGTTTATATTGTGTTTTTTGTATTGCAGAGAATTTTTTAACACCGACAAATTTGCCCCTCATTCTCCTCACCTCTTCCTTCGCCACCTCTAAACCCAGTTGCTGTGTATACTCCTTCAGTCATGGGTGAATAAACCAAGCCCCCACAATCCTGGGAATTTTATAAAGCCAACATGGAAGTGGCAAAAATGTTACCCTCATCCACTAGGGGCTGGCACCAAAACAGATCAAGTTCCCATTGACTCCCATGTTAAAAATGCCATTTTCACAGCAGAAATAAACATGTTTACAGCCTGGTTCAATAAACCATTTTAGGTTTAATAGATCTAGTTTACATTCATGACAACTTTGAAGGGGTGGATTTTTTTGGAACTCCTCCGTTTAAGTGTAATTAAATGCTTGAAATTCTGAATATTTAATTAGCATCAGAGCCACGAGCTAGCGCTAGGAGCTAGCTCCGGGGAAAGGCCTCAGCCTGGACCTTACGTTAATAGATGTCCGGCCATAGCTAGTAACTACATTGGTTCATTTGTTCCAACCGTAACAGCTCCTCTCTCAGCTCCACCTCTTCTCCCATGGTCAAATGGCAGTGGTGGGAACCTCCCATTTTATATCAAATCCATCTTAATCTAGCCAATGGGCATTATTTGTCCATTTAAATATATGTCAGTGGAATAAACGTTCACATTTTCTGGTAGTCTTCAAGCTGCCCATTTGCCGCTAGATATCGTTGGCTCTCTTTGTTTTTTTTAAGGGAACAATGGCAGTGCTGATTACACATTTACAGGAAGTGGCATCCTGGCCATTCTCAAGCTTGCGCTCTCCATTTCGTTCAACAGTTTAGAAACGTGGGCTTGACTCCGTCCGCCCTCGCGTGCCTGTTGGAGAGCCTTTGCAACGACGGATAATGGGGTTGCATGTCTCCAACAACTCAGACGGAAACGTATAAATTAGGCTAAAGTTCTAAAAGGATCACTCATGCAAGTTGTATCCCTTGGGGAGTCCTATGAGCAGTGTACTGTGCTCCTTGAAACGGGCTGTTAAGCTTGGTTTATGCTTGACGCATTTACTTTCCGCTTGGTGATGCGGCTCGCGGATGGAACGCGCTTCACAACTTGCAGCGTTTTTGGTTCATGCGGCTTGTCTCTGCGGTGAGCCAATATTCTCCCAAACTGTATGGGGCAGCATGGAGCTCTATGGCATGCATCCAACACTACACCATAGAAGTAGAAATGACTGTTTACAACACGGCATTCCAGCATTTTTTAACAGCGTCCTCGTCTTTTCCGACAGTGCGAGCTATTTCTCTCCAAGAATTATTAACAACATGTTGATCACGGTGATCTCTGAGAGCTGAATCATACAAATGTCTGTATTTACAAACCTCTGCTATACTAGTTCTTGCCAGTCCGCCATGTTTTTCCGCGTCTGACTGTCCGCGTGGTTAGAAAATTTCCTAGGTGCGCGGTGCGGAAAGTTTGGGCCGTGCGGAGGCGCGGTGGAGGGGCGTGGTTGTTAAAACAACGCAACTTTTCTGCGCGAAGCCGTGCGAACCTCGCGGACGCGTCAAGCATAAACCAACCTTTAGCCTCCTGTATGACTGGTGTCAGAGCTTGGTCCACGTTGCCGGCAGTAAGTTGGGTTCATTCTTGGTGGGAGTTTTGCTCTGCCAAGTGTGCCCTTTGTCACCGATTTTGTTCATAAATGTTATGGACAGCCAAGGTGTTGAGGGGATCTGTTTTGGTGGGCTAAAGATCAGGTCTCTGCTTTTTGGAAATTATGTGACCCTGTGGCTTCATCAGAACATGATCTCCAGCTTTCGCTGGCGCGGTCCACAGCAGAGTGTGAAGCAGCCACATTCCAACTCTCACCTATGGTCATGAGCTTTGGGTAGTGACTGAAAGAATGAGGTCGAAGATGCAAGCAGCCAAATTGAGTTTTCTCTGCAGTCATCTGGGGGCACTCGGGAGTAGATCCGCTGCCCCTCCTCACTTGAGGTGACTCAGACATCTGTTTAGGATGCCTGGACACCTCCCTGGTGAGGTTTTCCAGGTACGTCCAACAGGGAGAAGATCTAAGGACACACTGGAGGGACTATGTCTCTCGCCTGGCCAGAGAACACCTTGAGATTTCCAGAGAGGAGTTGGCCCAAGTGGATGGGGACAGGGGTGTCTAGGTCACTCTTCATAGGCTGCTGCCCTTGCAACCCGACCACATATAAGTGAAGGATAATTGGATGGATGGATAGCTTATTCATGCCGATGTTTTCTTACATTGTTAGATTCCTCATCTGATTTCATGGTCTCAGCGATGTATTTCACACCTTCGATTGCACTGCGAACATCTGGGTTTTTCATGATAGGAGACTTGTAGGTGACACTAGTGGGGGTGGGGTTCCCTGTAGACGAGAGAGAGCAGGAATGTGTCGCTCTGACTTCCTTGTTAACACTCATTCTAATGTCGATGAATAAAAATTGATGTGCTCCGTGGGTGCCGGCTTGCCTGAAATGTCAGAGATGTCCATATCTGTGGGGAAAAGCCTCTTCTGCCGGATCTCCTGACTGGGGCGCTTCATTGTCGAGAAGAACATCATGTTTGGAATTGTTTCGATGAAAACCTGAGAGACACACTGATAGATCAAAAGTCTTTCCAACACATTTAATGTAATTAAAAAACGGAAACAAATGTGTACCTTGCGGATCCATGCGGGCATGGTGTGTGTGCTGGGTGAGCGGTGGTGTGTGTTGATTACGATAACTGTGATGATGATGGACGCGATCACGAACACCATGGTGAAGAGCATGTATTTCCCTATGAGAGGAACAGCACTGGAAGTGGAGGGGATCAGCTCCACGATGACCAGCAGGAAGACAGTCAGAGACAGCAGGACGGAGATGGAGAGGGTCATCTTCTCACCTGGATGCACAAACGGCAAACACAACTCAAAACAAACTTATTTATATACAACCTTTTTATTGTCTTCTTGTCTGAAGGTTCTTTTGCAAACCTACAGAGTAAAAAAATCATCTTTGTGATATGTAATTGCACCACTTAGGGTTACCAAAACCCACCATTTCCCACATACCAGAATCAGTAGGAAGGTAGAAGACGAGTCCAGTGAGAAAGGAGAAGAGCATGCAGGGAATGATGACGTTAACGATGAAATAAAGTGGCAAGCGAAGCATCAGGAAGTGGTAGGTTATGTCCAAGTATGGCGTGTCAGGGCAGCAGGTATAGTAAACCCAGTGTTTCCAGCTCCTGTAGTCCTTTAACACCCATTCACCTGACTCCATGAAGTTACTGAGGTCGGGTCGATCGCTGTCCTAAAGCAGAGAGGGTCCACTGGCCTCAGACACTTTCAACTTAAACTATTTAATGAAACACAGAAGGAAACGGTCTTACTGGGTTGATCACAACCAGAGTACCATCATATGTCCAGGTGCCCAGCTTCATGCTGCAGTTCTGCAGGTCAAATGGGAAGTGGAGGACAATAATCTCACAGTAACTCTTATAGATGGCTGGAGGATTCCATGTTATCATGCCGGTGTGCTCCAGCAGGACTTTGGTTTCATGGATGATGGCAAAGTCACCATCAGCACTGTAGGAGAGGAAGAGTTTAGGGAGAGAAAGAGTAAAGCTACATAGAAAATAAAAGAAATCATATTTACTTGTTGTAGAGCACCAAGTCGGGTCTCCAAATGTCACTGGAGGGGATTCTGATCTTTCTGATGCCTCCATACTCATCTGGATTCCACTTCAGGTTCACATCTATCCATTGCTACAAAATAGAACGAAAAACATTTCAATATTAATTTTATTTTAACAAAAAAATTAATAAGTAATAAACGTTTTACAGCAAACAGCCTATCAAACATTAAAGGATCCTCTTGTGTGGATTTATAAAATTTTTATAATATAAATATATTTATTAGGGATGGACAATATATCGGCATTAATATTGGTATCGGCTGATGTTAGTCATTTTTTAACATATCGGTCACGATCCGATAAATAAAACTGGGCCCATATTAACAACCAATATTTTTCTCCATTTTTATCTGTTTCAGAGGGTGATGTGTATTTGTTTAGTCATGTGAACAGTCAATGTAATTATCTCAGGAGTGTAAATCTGTGTGGTGTGTGTAAATACGGTAAATTCAGCTTTAGTAATTTTAATTTTATACAAAATCTGTTGATTTTAGAAGCATTAATGTCAGTGTATCGGTATGGGCAAATATCGGTTATCGGCCATAACAGTGATATTACTATCGGATATCGATATCGGCCTAAAAATGTCATTGTGCATCACTAATATTTATTTATAAATGAAAATAAGAGTCATGCATTTCAGATACCCATTAGATAAATCTGAATACATATACAATGAGGAAAAAAATATTCAGCCACCAATTGTGCAAGTTCTTCCCCTTAAAACATGAGAGAGGCCTGCAATTTTCATCATACAGTAGGTATACCTCAACTATTAAAGACAAAATAAAATGAAAAAAAAAACCCATCCAAAAAATCACATTGTCTAACTTTTATTTGCAAACTGTGGTGTTTGATGAAGTATTAATTTAGGTATTTGATCAATGATGAAATTCCAACTCAATACTTTGTTATAACCCTTTGCTGGCAATGACAGAGGTCAAATGTTTTCTGTGTGTCTTCCCAAGGCTTTCACACAATGTTGCTGGTATTTTGGCCCATTCCTCCATGCAGATCTCTTGAGCAATGATGTTTTGGGGATGTCACTGGGCAACACAGACTTTCTATGGGGTTGAGATCTGGAGACTGGCTAGGCCACTCCAGGGGCCTCATTTATCAACTGTACTTATGCACAGATCTGTGCGTAATTCGTGTGTAGGAACAAATTTACGCATTGTGTAGTATTTCTCATGTTGTACTTACTCATGTGTGGAAATGTTTCTACATATAAAAAAAAACTCACCATGCGTTAGGGCTGGGCGATATGACGATTTTAGACCGTTTTACGATCTACACATCTGACGGTCTGTCATTTTTGAGAGACCGTTTTATCACGATTCACAGCTCTGCTGTTGAATTTCTGCCTCTGAATGAAAAGGGAACTTACCTCAGGCGAATGACACGCCTTTGTAAACTTTGACCCTTAACCAATCAGAGTGAGTCATAGTAATATATTAGTGCCCCGCAGTGAACAAACGTGGCTTCGGCCGCGGCAACAAGGTTTTCGTTCCGAAGAGGAACGCAGGGTTTCCTTAGCGCGCGGCGCTAATAACTTAGCGAGGTGACATGTCTTGGAGAAAGCGTAAAAACACGTTGGACGCTTCTTCTGAAGCAGGAAAATAACACCGCTTCTTAAGCAGAGCACGACGTCGCCTCGGCTCGTCCACCCTCTGCCGAGCCGGTGTCGGTACCGGACTGAGCTCGGTCACTGGGTCGCTGGAGCTGTTCCGTGACTGCCTGATGGAAAACCAGCGGGTTTCATCAGACTCGTAGTTTCTTGTTTATGCTGGGACCTCCTGTATTTTACCGCTCCCTCCTGCAGTCTTCCCCTATTAACATGTAAAATGATTCTGTAAACTCCGTGTATCAATAGAAACAATCTCTGCCTCTGCCAGCTGCAGTAAATGTAGTTTCCAAATAATAAGAGGTGCACTCATCTGTGTATCTCCTTTGATCCGCATTAGTGATATTTTCAGCACCAGAACAGTGAAGCAAAGAAAGATTCCTGAGTTTGTTAGTAATTTTATTTATTAGGTGCATCTAACCTGTTCTAATTTTTCTATTTATCTCTGAAATGAGATCAAATCAGTGCTTCTATGGGTTGTCTCCAATCTGCACTGGAAAATTTTACTTTATTTAGAGACTTGTTGCAGAAAATATTCAGAATGCGCAGTTTTTTGCTACCACAAGCGATCTCTGGTCCAGCCGCACATCAGAGCCGTATTTGAGCTTAACTAACCACTACATGAGCAACTGGGAGCTACATAGTATTTTGAACAAGTTATTGTTTGCACAATACATTTGCAATTGACATGTTTGCACTTTAAATATGTTTACGATTTTAATTTATGTTAAGTAACTTGAAAAACGAGAAAAACTGATTTTTGTAATTGTTTCTCTCAGGGCTTTTATCATCTCTGGTGTGAGTTTAAAATATAAGTGTGTTAGCACTGTGCTGATTATCCCTAATATGAATAAATGTTTATTTATTCAATGTTTCTCTTCTTTAATACGCAATTGAAGTTATGCTATTCATGGATAAAAAATCGTGATAAAATCGAAATCGTGATAAAATATTGGAAAAATCGTGTTATTCTATTTTTGCAATATCGCCCAGCCCTACCATGCGTACAAACAACAGCTAGTGGTAGAACAAGGGAACAGCAACACCAAAGGTCTCAGCTGTCCACAAATGTTCCTCATCCACAAATTATTTTACCAATTAAATAATTATTTGGGTGGAAAAACAGGTGACCCGTGACTGACGATTATCAGACATTGTAGAATGGAATTCGTGTTTTTTGTGATCACAGGTTTTACCCTTCCCATTTTTATGATGTTTTAAATTAATTAATATAGTATTTTTGATTTAATGAGATTTGCCTTGTGATTTTGCTTGAGATGCGCTAGACAAACGATCGTTTCTGGAGCTACGCTGTGATGTGGGATTCTGTGGAGCAACAAACTGCCCGATTCCAATACCAGTCCATTTTCTATTTTACAGCTACGAGAACCCTCAAACCCTCCTCTACTCACTGATCATACACGCGTTTTCAAGGTAACCAGACTGTATGACAGCTCAGAAGAAGCTGCACTCTCAGACATTTCCAAATAAAACTAACTCCGCCCAAAACGACTCCTCAAATGTAAATGACAACCCATTACTCCACGATCTATCATATTCATTTTTTTTTCTAACAGAGACCTCTCCTTTATAACCTCTGTAACTTGTTTGGTTCTTTGCACTTAGGCAGCCAGTGTCTTTATCTCGCTACAAAGTTTTATTTTTTTCCGGGTAGAACGCAGAGAATCCCCTCACATGCTGAGGGCGCGGTGTGAATTGAGGGTGTTTCAGTATGTAAATGACCGAGAACAGACACAATCAGTTGGGTATGCACAGGTGGGATTTATCATCAGATGATTGCGGAAGAACATGCAACTGAGTGGCCACCGCATGTTTCATAAATCAGTATTTTGACTGTTCGTACGAACATTCTAAATTTCGTTCATAGGAACGTATATAGGAATATTCTTACGAATGTTTTATGATGAGTGCCCAGGACTTTGAAATGCTTCTTATGAAGCCACTCCTTCTTTTCCAGGTGGTGTGTTTGGAATCATTGTCTTGCTGAAAGACCCAGCCATGTTTCAGCTGAAAGAAGGTTTTCACTCAAAATCTGACGACACATGGCCTCATTTTTTCTTTCCTTTACATGTATCAGTCATCCTGGTCCCTTTGCAGAAAACAGCCCCAAAGCATGATGTTTCCACCCCCATGCTTTACAATAGGTATAGGTTTTTTGGATGCAACTCAGCATTCTTTCTCCTCCAAACATGATGTGTAGAGTTTTTACCAAATAGTTCTATTTTAGTTTCAGCTGACCATATGACATTCACTCAGTTTTATGTTTATGTGTATTTATTTGGCAGACACTTTTATCCAAAGCGACTTACAATTTATAACCTATAGGGCATGTTGTGATCCAAATGCTCTCTAGCAATCTTTAGACAGTCCTGCACACGTACTGGTTTAAGCAGGGGGACCCGTCTGGAATTGCAGGATTTGAGTCCCTGGTGGTGTAATGTGTTACTGATGGTAGCCTTTGTAACTTTGGTCCCAGCTCTCTACAGGTCATTCACGTGGTCCCCCCGTGTAGTTCTGGGATTTTTGCTCATCGTTATTGTGATCATTTTGACCCCACGGGGTGAGGTCTTGCATATAGCCTCTGATCAAGGGAGATTATCAGTAATCTTTTATGTCTTCCACTTTCTAATATTTGCTCCCAGAGTTGATTTCTTCACACCAAGCTGGGTATTGCAGATATAGTCTCCCCAGCCTGGTGCAGGTCTACAGTTTTGTTTCTGGGCTCCTTTGACAGCTCTTTGCTCTTGGCCATACCGGAGTTTTGAGTGTGACTGTTTCAGGTTATGGACAGGTGACTTTTTTTTATTGTTAATGAGTTCCAGTAGGTTCCATTATTACAGGTAACAAGTGGAGGAAGGAGGAGCCTCTTATCGAAGAAGTTACAGGTCTGTGGGAGCCAGAAACCAAATACTTAATTTCCACCATAATTTGCTAATAAATTCTTTAAAAATCAGACAATATGATTTTCTGGATTTTTTCCTAATTTTGTCTCTCATCGTTGAGGTATACCAAAGATGAAATTACAGGCCACTCTCATCTAGAGGAAGCACAAACTGACTAAATACTTTTTTGCTCCACTGTAAATATAACAGTTATATCTTTTCTAAACTGAACTCAATAAGATAATTAATAGTTTTAAAGCAGGTTTCTGTTCATCTTTCCCAATGGCCTAAAATAACCTCATTTTGGGAAACAGAGATTAGCTTTAATTGAACACAAAAAGCTAACAACCAGCTGCTTCTAAAATGTCTACAAACAATTCCATAAAAAATCTTGCTAATATTAATTTTTAATAATTTATATTGCAATACATTTCACTTTTCATAGTTAATCTGGCAGAGTTATGGGATTCCAGGCAGAAGTAGCTAAAAGTGGCTACCTCTGCAGCTAATGTAACTCTACGTAAATGGTGCTTTTAGGCACTACAAACAGAGTTATTAGTTAATGACTACGTTTACATGCTGCCAATATCCGGGTTATGATCGGGTTAAGGTCGGTATTCGGGTTTCTGAGTTGATCAGAATAACCCGTTTACAAGCATAAATAGAAAGAGTTACCCTTAACTTGCACAACCCGATTTAAATGCGGACGTTGGGGTAGCGTCAGGACGTATGGACTACGTCCAGACGCAATATGCGTCATTTCCGGTTCTTCTTGTTCCGGTATCCGTGAAAACAACAACATGTTTCCCAGTTCGGAAGAGATAGCGACCGCGTTTGTTTGCGCTTTAGTGCTGGTATTGACCCACCAGCAGCTCTTACAACGACTGTGCTTACTGGCCTTCATTCGAAGGAGAGTACGTGAGCAAGAAATGGCAAATATAGAGAGAGCTGCGCTTAACATACAAAACGTCTCGCTACTCAAAAGACCAAGATTCCTTGCGAACAGAGCATGCACAGAACACACGCTTTGATGGGGATATCCCGATATGCGTTTACACGACCAAACATTCGGGTTAGAAAAGGGTTACCAGGTGTAGTAACCAGGTTTTTAAAAACCCGGTTATGAGCATATCCGGGTTTTTGGCGGTGTTAACATGGCCGTGCGGAACTTGGTTATTGTGAATATTCGGGTTTTAAAAGGGTTACTGGCTGCATGTAAACGCACTCATTCTGTATGCTGAAAATGTTCTTTATTTCTCCAAACTGAGGTTGTCTGATTATGCCTGTTTCAAAGGAAAATACTTTACAGAAATACCTGACTGCATGAACTAAAATTATGAGCAATGTTGTTATTTTGTCTTTTTAAAAACTTGTAATTTAATTTTTCAATACATTTACCTGCCGTAGACGAACATTACTGGTTACAATCTGGTTTACTTCATCCTGAGGAGAAGGAAAAACATCAAACCTAATTAATTACACTTTGTTTAAAAGCTGGGGGAAAAATGTGATAATTAAAGGATATATCTTGTTTGTTCGTCCACACATCTTGAATGTTTAGTTTGGTTTATGTAAATCAGGGAAAAAAACTACATTGAATGAATATCTTTGACAATTCTGTTTCCTTTTCGCATAAAATGCAGTAATTATGTGAAGGAAATCTTTCTTTTCCAAATGGAATCTTTCTGTTTGTACTCTTAGAGGGACACATGTCCTTACCACACTGATGAGTTGTATAAGCTGCAGTCCCACGGTGACCACTACAGCGTCACTGAAGTGGTTTACGGGACGAACCACCTTGTTGTATCCTGTGAATAGCGTTTTCATCAACCGCGTTTCATCTTCTGAGCAGAAAACGGAACCTAAAACAACAAAAAGTAGACAAACACACAAACATGTGAGTAGATCAGAATCAGTGAGTGAAGGGAAGGGTAATTATTAGAAGAGAAAAATAAATGAACAGACTCAAAGTGGTCAACAGCAACAGGAGTCGGTTGAGTAAAATTCTTTATCATGGCTGCACAGGAACAGACCCTGAACACCAGAGCAACAGAAGCCAATGTACCACACCAGACAAGACCCAAGGTCTAGTCTATGCAAAGAGGCCCCTGAGACAATCCACCACATAACTGACTAGGCAGTTTTGGTTTGCTTTTAACAACCACTAGTGTCCATTTGTAGAAGCGAATCCAAAACTTTTCTTGTTGCTGTGCGTTGGTCTTTAAACACTTTAATCTAACAGCTGAAACATCTCCCAGCCTTCCTTAGTGTCTAGAGGGGCGATTCATCCCTAAATTATACAAATCAGCTGTGTTCATGATCTAAAGGTAGCGCGACTCGGGTTGCGAATGACCACAGTCACCAAATCTTGTTGAATGGTGTGTACTGAAACTCTAATTTCCCTCTGGGATCAATAAAGTATTGATTGATTGATTGATTGATTGATTAAAACACATGTGTCAGGCACAAGGCCCACGGGCTGCATCTGGTCCGCAGAGCATTTTTATGTGGCCCATGAGATAAATATAAAAAAAATATTAAAACTGACCCGCTGGACAAATTTACCGCAAAGACTACAACTCCCATGATGTTTTGCGGCGTTAGCGCGGAGCCGAAGCGCCCCCTCCTTTGTGTTTTTTCCAGCGTCTGCTGCCGGTCCGCTGCCTCTGACAAACTAAACATTCCTCTCACTCAGCGCCGAGTTTACTCCGCTATTTGCTGACGTTGAAGCCACGTTGGATATAACTCCAGCGAGCAGCGACACCCTCAAATCAGCATGACTCTGTGGCTGCTGTAGTTTTTATTTTTCCTCCCCCGACACACAACAGCGTGGTCAAACTGCTCAGACATGTTCAGCAGCACTAACCTATGTAAGCACCTGTTGTCATTTAATGTTGTCATTATTATGATGAAGATGAACAAAACAATAGGAGTCTCCTCCTCAGCTCAGAGCTCCTCAACCCCATGATGCAGGTATCTGGCTGGAACAGGTGAGCATCACAGTAAACCAGTGGAGCAAACTGAGCTTTAAATATGTTGGTTTTATGCTCTTTTTCTGCTCCAAAACATGAAAGTTAACAGGTGAGATGTTGCATTTTCATTTAAGATAAAATTATATTTTATTTTGTTGTTGGCCCGTGAGAAAAGATTTAACCTACATTAAACAGGAAGTGGAAAGGCTGCAGATAGATGAATAGAATAGAAAATCCCTTTATTGTTCCTCAGTGGGGAAAGCTAGATGTCACAGCAGAGATGACACTTATTACAGGAGAAAAAAGGAGAATAAAAAATGAGAAAAATGAATAAACAACAAGAAAACATAAATCCTGAATAGATTTTAAAATAGCTGATTATACCACAAGTAATGAATAACACTGATGCGTTTTATTTAAAATTGACGTGCTCGTATGTAATTTGGTTATTCCACACTCAGTGTTAATGCAGAAATAAGTTTGTTTCCTAATTAGAAGGTTCAAAATTGCATATATGTTGATAAAGAAAATGTGCAAATTTGCCGTCACTTTTTCAAAAAATTTAAAGTTTGGCGCGCAACTTCAGCCCAGATTTTCATTTCGGCCCAGTGTGAATTTGAGTTTGACACCCCTGATCTAAAACATACAGAAAATGTGCTGGAGCCAGAATGCAGCACGAGGTACGTAAGCTCTATTATTCTAAGTCCAACAGATCGGACCAGCAACTGTGATGCTGCAAGTAGGATAATCTGGCCATAGGGAGTGATGGGGCTGGGTGGCCTTTCATTAACCCTGTAAAGGATAATTTTAGCACATACACTGGTTCAAGAAAATGATTTAAAAACATGAAAAAGTTGCAAAGTATCCCTTTAATAATGTATCTTTGAATTTGAATTTGAATTTTAACCGAGCAAATAGGTACGAGCCTCCTATTGGAAAATTTTTACAGGGGTTATTATCTTTCAGCTGGCAACAAGATATTTAACCCCAACTGGTACAATTGGTTGCTTCTCATCTCTTAAACAAGCATGTAGAAAGACACATCTGGTGGTCGTGGAAAAGATGTTAGTCTGTTTGAGAAGGGTCAAATCATTGGCATGCATCAAGCAGAGAAAACATCTAATGAGATGGAAGAAACTACTAAAATTGGGTGAAAGCCTACTTTCCCTTGGACATGAAGGCATCACAAAATGACAGCAAAACGTACTTTCTACTAGAACAGTCTAGGTATTTAATATAAAATGACCTGCAATGCAATTAGCCACAGTTGTAGTGGAAGAGTTCCTTTACATCGGCAGCAAAGTGTAACGCTTTGGACATGTCCTGGAAGCAAAGGCAAGCTATCATCTATCTATATAATTAAAATAAAAACTCTGAGGCCAGAAGCGTTGTGGCTTCCAACACGTCAGAAACAAACTCTTGGTCACCCATCGTCAGTTTTTGACACTTCAGGGATGAGAATGTGTTGTATCAGAAGATTGGTACACTGTTGTCATACAGGCATGGACATGGTCAGCAACAATACTCAGGTAGGCTGTGGTGTTGCAACGATGATCATTTAGTACCAAGGGGCCCAAAGTGTACCAAGAAAATGTCCACAACACCATTACACCATCACCAGCCTGAATCGTTGATACAAGGCAGGATGGATCCATGCTTCCATGTTGCTGACGCCAAATTCTGACGGACCTTCCTAATGTTGCAGCAGAAATTGAGTCTCATCAGACCAGGCAACATTTTTTCAATCTTCTTTTGTCCAATCTTGGTGAACCTGTGTGAATTGTAGCCTCAGTTTCCTGTTCTTAGCTGCCAGGAGTGGCACCCGGTGTAGTTCTCTGCTGCTGTAGCCCATCTGCCTCATGGTTCAACGTTTAGTGCATTCAGAGATGCCTTTCTGCATACCTTGGTTGTCACGAGTGGTTATTTGAGTTACTGTTCCCTTTCTATCAGATCTAATCAGTCTGGCCATTCTCCTCTGATCTCTGACACAAACAAAGATTTTCACCCACAGAACTGCCGTTCACTGGATGTTTTCCCTTTTTCTGACCATTCTCTGTAAACCTTAGAGATTGCTGTGTGTGACAATTCCAAAAGATCAACAGTTTCTGAAATACTCAGACCAGCCCATCTCGCACCAACAACCATGCTACGTTAAAAGTCACTTAAATCACCTTTCTTCCCCATGCTGAAGCTTGGTTTGAACTGCAGCAGATCGTTTTGATCATGTCAATATGCCTAAATGTATTGAGTTGGCATCATGTGATTGGCTGATTAGTAATTTGCGTTAATGAGCATTTCGTATCAGAATCGCTGCCGGCTGAAAGGGCGCTCACAGGTAAAATGCCTCTATTTTGTTACGTGCTGCTTTAGCTTCTGATGGAAAGGAGGCTTAAGAACTGTCTAATGCTTTATAAAAACCGGTCTGATGAGTCCAGATGGACCCTGTTCCAGAGTGATGGTTCATCAGGGTAAGAAGAGAGGCAGATGAAGTGATGCACCCCTCATGCCTAGTACCTACTGTACAAGCCTGTGGAAGCAGTGCTATGATCCTGGGTTGCTGCAGCTGGTCAGGTCTAGGTTCAGCAACAGGATGTGCTCCAAGAATGAGATCAGCTGACTACCTGAATATACTGAATGACCAGGTTATTCCATCAATGGATGTTTACTTCCTTGATGGCACAAGTATATTCCAAGATGACAATGCCAGCTCACATTGTGATAGAGTGGTTCAGGGAACATGAGACATCGTTTTCACACATGGATTGACCACCATAGAGTCCAGACCTTAATCCCATTGAGAATCTTTGGGATGCGCTGGAGAAGGCGTTGCACAGCAGTCAGACTCTACCATCATCAATACAAGAACTTGATGAAAAATTTATGCAACACTGGGTGGAAATACTGGAAATATACTGGATGGAGCTGTTTGTTCTGGACAGTTTAGAAGCATTGTAGAGATGACTTACCGGTATCTAAATCAATATGATTAGAGTAGGCCAAGACAGAGGTATTAAAAGCATGAACCACTTTTATCTGATCCTCGGTGAGAACTGGAAATAACTAGTTAGGAAAAAACGTCCCTCAAGAAATCTGGAGAACTATTCCAGTCAAATACATAAATGAAGAACATTTGTCTATCAGACTTTAGGCTGTTTAAAACTTAGAAAACATCAACTTTTGTCTCACTAAACGTAATTGTTCCAAATCATTCATTTGCTTGCTGGAGCAGTGCTTTTAGGAAACAATGACCATGTCTTCATCTTCTTGACAGTAAACAGACCACTGTTGTAGCTCTGTTATGATTACAGGAAACATGCCATTCAGTTTTGTATAATATGACCCAGCATGCTGCTCTACAAGCCAAGTGACATCCTACTGCATGCTATTTTGAGAATCCGTTGGCAGGCTTTTCTCTGGCTGTTCTGAGTAAGCTGGGATCTTGTTTCATTTAGCCTGCCAGAGCAAAGAACACACACACACACACACACACACACACACACACACACACACACACACACACACACACACACACACACACACACACACACACACACACACACACACACACACACACGCACACACACACACTAGCCTAGCTTTGATTAAAGGTTTTTAATCAAAACTAAAGAGTCATAATCTGTAGCTTAAATATTTATTCTTCTGCTTGTTTTTTTACTCATTGAGGTTTTGTACACTTGCACCATGTCTGTTATTCTTTAATCTGGCCGTGCGCAAAAATAGAAAGCAGGCAGGAGAGAGACACTTGGAGCTGTCAGTCATTTCCCTAATGCTCCGTATTCCTGTTTCCGGTTGACCTGCTGCAGCACTAGTCCTTTTTGCTGCTCTCCGGGAAGTAAATGCCCCAACCGATGATGCTGTAGACTGTGGGTTTTCTTCAGCAACTAAATGTAACGTTCAGATTTACCATTTATATTCACATTTTTCTTCACTAGTTTCATGCGCTTTATCGAGTAGATCACTTTGTGTTTTTGTTTTTGCAGATAAATTAAATTGTTCACTAAAACTCAAAAAGATCATTTTAAAATCATGAATTAGTGCAAATGAATAATCTAAATTCAGTTATTCAAATGTATGACTATTTATGTAGATTTCTTGATGCAGAAGATGTTTGACTTGTGATGTGAAGGAATCAGTATCCTGACACTGCTCTTTCAGATCATCGTCATCAAACGATCCTTCTTTTGAGTGACTGAATTGATAAGAATATATGATTAAGACTGAAATAAATCAAACTTGGAGACCTATGGCAAACACAGTGGTTCATGAAAGGAAAATTACAGCAAAAAAGAAAAAAAGAGTGAAGTGACCAAATACGCTGACTTGATAAACTGATAGAATAAAATAATAACTCAAAACAATTGTCTTTAAATTATCAGTCTCCTACAGTTTTGAGGATTTCCTTGTTTAATGACGATTCTTTCAGTTCCATGTGCTTAGCCTTCATTAATGCACATCTATCATGTGATTTAACTACTGCATCAATAACTGCATCAGTGCTCTTTATTTTTAACTCCCAGACAAGACAGAGCTTGAAGTTTTTGGACCCTGTCCCTTCATTTAGTTATTCTGGATGGTATAACTTTGGTAAAACTATTATTATTTTAGTGTAGGACTTCTTCAATATCAGGGGTCCCAACAATCCTCTGAAAAAGGCTCCAACTGAATTAAAATACTACAGGTGAAACTTAAAATTAGAATATAGTGCAAAAGTTCTTTTAGTTCAGTAATTCAACTTAAAAAGGTGAAACTAATACAGGTGCTGGCCAGTAAATTAGAATATCATCAAAAGGTTGAAAATATTTCAGTAATTCCATTCAAAACGTGAAACTTGTACATTATATTCATGCAATGCACACAGACCAATGTATTTCCAATGTTCATTACATTTAAATTTGATATTCATAAGTGACAACTAATGAAAACTCCAAATTTGGTATCTCAAAAAATTAGAATATTCTGAAAAGGCTGAATATAGAAGACACCTGCTGCCACTCTAATCAGCTGATTTACTCAAAACACCTGCAAAGGCCTTTAAAAGGTCCCTCAGTCTTGTTTTGAAGGCACCACAATCACGGGGAAGACTTCTGACTTAACAGCTGTCCAAAAGACAATCATTGACACCTTGCACAAGGAGGGCAAGACACAAAAGGTGATTGCTAAAGAAGCTGGCTGTTCGCAGAGCTCTGTGTCCAAGCACATTAACAGACAGGCGAAGGGACGGAAAAAATGTGGTAGAAAAAAGTGTACAAGCTCTAGGGATAACCGCACCCTGCAGAGAATTGTGACGACAAACCCATTCAAAAATGTGGGGGAGATCCACAAAGAGTGGACTGCAGCTGGAGTCAGCGCTTCAAGAACCACCACGAGGAGACTCATGAAAGACATGGGATTCAGGTGTCGCATTCCGTGTGTCAAGCCACTCTTGAACAAGAAACAGCACAAGAAGCGTCTCGCCTGGGCCAAGGACAAAAAGGACTGGACTGATGCTGAGTGGTCCAAAGTTATGTTTTCTGATGAAAGCAAGTTCTGCATTTCCTTTGGAAATCAAGGACCCAGAGTCTGGAGGAAGAGCGGAGAAGCACAGAATCCACGTTGCATGAGGTCCAGTGTAAAGTTTCCACCGTCAGTGATGGTGTGGGGTGCCATGTCATCTGCCGGTGTTGGCCCACTCTGTTTCCTGAGGTCCAGGGTCAATGCAGCCGTCTACCAGGAAGTTTTAGAGCACTTCATGCTTCCTGCTGCTGACCAACTTTATGGGGATGCAGACTTCACCTTTCAACAGGACTTGGCACCTGCACACAGTGCCAAAACCACCAGCACCTGGTTCAAGGACCATGGTATCCCTGTCCTTGATTGGCCAGCAAACTCGCCTGACCTTAACCCCATAGAAAATCTATGGGGTATTGTGAAGCGGAGGATGCAATACGCTAGACCCAACAATGCAGAGGAGCTGAAGACGACTATCAGAGCAACCTGGGCTCTCATAACACCTGAGCAGTGCCACAGACTGATCGAGTCCATGCCACGCCGCATTACTGCAGTTATTGAGGCAAAAGGAGCCCCGACTAAGTATTGAGTGCTATACATGCACATTCTTTTCATGTTCATTCTTTTCAGTTGGCCAACATTAGAGAAACAAACATTTTTTCATTGGCCTTTAGAATATTCTAATTTTCTGAGATACCAGATTTGATGTTTTCATTGGTTGTCACCTATAAATATCAAATTTAAATGTAATGAACATTGGAAATACATTGGTCTGTGTGCATTGCATGAATATAATGTACAAGTTTCACGTTTTGAATGGAATTACTGAAATATTTTCAACGTTTTGATGATATTCTAATTTACTGGCCAGCACCTGTATACAAGATGAACTCATTAGATGCAAAGCCAGACATTTCAGCCTTTAGTTGTAGTAATTATGGATTACAGCTTATCAAAACCCCACAGTCAAAATCTCTGACAATCAGAATATTGTGAAAAGGTTCAATATTCTAGACTCAAAATGTCCCACTCTAATCAGCTAATGAATCCAGACCACCTGCAAAGGATTCCTGAGCCTTTAGATGGTCTCAGTCTAAGATGGATTACCTAAAAATAAATGGACTTTAGCATCATATTCTAATTTTTCCAGTTTCACCTGTAATTTAAGGCTTTTGATTTCAAGTAAATATCTTTAGAAACAGTCAAAACATGTCAAGCATCACATCAACTAGTCCAAAAGTTCACAGTGGTAACTCCACAGAGTGTGTTCTGACAAGACTGCATCCTGTCAGCAAGTCCTTGAAGAAAATAATCAGCTCAGTGGTACATTTAATACACAAGGGCATCAGTGGGAGGAAACTCCTTTAAGAATACCACACACACACACACACACACACACACACACACACACACACACACACACACACACACACACACACACACACACACACACACACACACACACACACACACACACACACACACACATACATACACCCATAAAGACAAGAACACACACACACACACACACACACACACACACACACACACACACACACACACACACACACACACACACACACACACAACCCAAACATGACTGCATGATTCTGTTTCGAGAACCCTGTTATTTTAATTATTAAGACATTTTCTTTCCTAACATCCTACATTTTCACTTTGTTGTCTTGTCTGGATTTTTCTGTTGCCCCGTTTTTTAGATTTACTGGACATCATGGTCCATGGTTAACATAAAACTGGGAATAAGATTTATTTAAATGGTTCATTGAAGCATAGGATTCCTGAAACCAAACACTGACAGAAAAAAATGGATGGACTGTTTATATTCACATTTAGAGTATTTATAGAGGCAGAAACACGAACGTTTTGCATGTTTCTTTAACACATCAGTGACTATGGCTGTGCTACATCAGTCCTGAATGAAGTAAGATTTATTTTCCTGTGTAATGGAAGCTATCTTCAACTAGTAAGATATTAGTTATAATTTATACACAGACACATGCTTCAGAATGGCCAAAACATCCCTTTAGATAATGAAGGTTAATCTAAAACCAGAAATTCCTCATTGGTTTTTACTTTAATATGTTTTCAGTAAAGTTTTAATGAAAAATAATACTTTGGTGTACACACGGATATTGTCCCCCCTTCTTTAACTTGCTCTTAGAATGTTCTTAGAGGGGGTTTGGTAGCTGGGTCACATTTCAGGAAGCTGCTTGACACAACTGTTCTGTCTCATTTATAAGACACATGAGACAACACATCCACAATATTTAGTTTCCTAATGTCCAACATTTTATTCCCAGTGGGAGTTTGGACGATAACAGACAATAGGGCTTCTAAACCTGAAAGGTTGTTTCCTCAATAGTTGATATGGATATTTATTACTAAGAAAACCAACATTTAAATATTTCTTAAACATGCAGGACTTCCACTTCCACAGCAAGCCACAAAACATTGCCAGTGAGGTTTAAAATATTAGGAATCTCACTCACAGTGAAACACTTACCAGAACATACAGAGAGAACCAAAACCAACAAGATCTTTGGAACAATCATCTCTCTTCAGGACCAACTCCTAAATCCACAGCATCTGTCTTGATGTTGCTGCTCGGCAGTTAATAGGTTCCAGTGTGGCCTTTGTTAGTGGCGGTCAACAGAAACAGACATAAACACTGAAGTTGCAGCAGATCGTTTAGAGCTGAGGGTCGTAGTGAGACGGTGGATGGGACAGAATGTGAACTCTGAGCTCTTGTTTTTCATGGCAACCCTCTCCCCCACCCAACAGCACCCCAGCATATTTTAAGGGAGACAGCTGTGTGTATGCATGCCTGTGTGTGTGTGTGTGTGTGTGTGTGTGTGTGTGTGTGTGTGTGTGTGTGTGTGTGTGCGCGCGAGTGTGCCTGTGTTTGTACAGTATAATTGGATTAAAAAGTTGACATGACACCAATTTATGGGAATTTCCAGTAAATACAAGGGTCACAATTTAGCCCCTCAAGGTATAAATGACCATTTTATTCAGTTTTTTTCCACTGGCAAGATTTGGATTTTAGTCAATAGAAATATTAGTGTATCTGTAAGTTTTGCATTTCAAACCAGTATTTTTAGATATGAATATGATTTTTGTCTCAGCACGATAAAAAGTGGTCAAACTATGAAAAGAAAGCCCAAATCCAACAAAGCGGGCGTAATGGATGAAAGACAAACTGTTGCTTTAAGACACTTTAGGGACAGGAGACACGGAGACGGGCTGGAGAACAGCTGAGCACTCACTGATGAAATGAGAAGAATGTCCACACATGGCGGTGATCAAGTAACACACATGCACCAAACCCACCGGCCTGCCAGCTCACGTGGCGTGACATGACATCAAAGTAATAGTTCAGTTCTTTTAAAGGAGTATTTTATGGAAATAATAATTATTGATATCAACAGGAGAGCTATTTGAATGACTACAGTTTGGTGAAATATAGTTTAACCCTCCCACTGTCTTTATGGGTGACCCCGCGAGGAAAGTTGGCCACTGAGCAGGATCGATGGTTTATCCCTTGAGGTCCACGTGGCAGGGGTGAGGTGGTGCTCACTCCTCACCCATAACACATGGACCCAAGGGATAAACCATTAACCCTGCTCAATGGTCAACTTTCCTCGTGGGGTCACACCCATTAGGACAGTGGGAGGGTTAATTCTTTCCAAATCGATAAGCTAACTGCTAGTCACAATGGGGTCACGTACAAAGCAGATAACTGCCATAAAAAATTAAAGTTTTGAATAATTCAGGGTAACAGTGACTGAGGAGTTAAGCCTGCCCTAAAAGTGGAGGGTTTCAGATTGGAGTCCTGCTCAGTCTGTTAAAGTTGTTGTGTCATTGGGCAAGACACTTCACCCGCTTAGCCTGCTGCTGGTGGTCGGAGGCGTCAGTGGTGCCAGTAATGGGCAACCTCGCTTCAGTCAGTGCGTCCCAGGGTAGCTGCAATTCATCTCCACCAGTTTGTGAAGGTGTGTCCAACACATTTTCACTCCCAGCGCGTCATAATCAAACGCTTGGTCAGCCACCCTCCGCGTCAGACCCTTGACGCCAAAAGTGCCCTTTTTCGTTACTTATGTGCGAAAAGGGGTTTTTCCTTTTTCTGACTGCAGATCCCACTGCAGCGTAAAACTTAAGTGATGGGATGTCTGCTGATGCGGCACCGAACCAGCACATTTAACCACACCTAAACCTTAACGTTTCACTATTTATAACCTTCCCCTCACCCTCATTCTAACCTTAACCCTCTTACTACCTAAAACGTTACTTTCACTATGATCAAGCATTTGTTTCCCATGCATTCTGACATTGAATCCACCATGGTAGTTGAAACCTTCCCCTCGCGTTGCCTCGGTCCAAGCCCGACCAATGACGAGGCGGCTCCCACCGTTAACTTCATAGAGCCGGCTTTTAGAGCGACCAACACATCACTTACGTGTTCGCTAGCAAGATGGTTAAGGTTAGGATATGGGTGAAGGGAAGGTTAAATAACAAGAGGATAAGGTTAGGGTGAGGTACAATGAGCTTGTTTGGTGCCCTGGCTGCGAACATCCCATCACGTCAGTGTAACGCTGCATTGGGATCTGCAGTCAGAAAAGGGAAAAAAAAAAAAACTTTTCGCACATAAGTGACGAAAAAGGGCACTTATGGCATCAGGGGTCTGACGTGGAGGGTGGCTGACCAAGCGTTTATTTTTGACGTGCTGGGAGTGAAAATGTGTTGGTGTGTCAGTAGGTGAATGACTGGTTGTGTTGTAAAACACCTTGGGGGGTTGTAGAACCCTAGAAGGCACGATATCAAACACAGGCCCTTTATCATCTAATTTGTGTTTGATTTAAGTTGACAGTACTTTATAACTCTTGACACTGTCGTACATTTTGACATGTTCCTTCTCTTCCACAGCTAGGTGGTCTTTGGTTGCCAAGAAATCTAGACAGACAGTAGCTAAAGCAAAATGATTTAGCTCTCTTGGTTGGTCTAGCCATCTCCGTAGGAACTTCAGCAGGCCCAAACAGTCTTGTGCCTTGCCAATCACAGCCCTCTATCAGTTTAGTGGGGGGGAATAATAATAATAATAATACATTTTATTTCAACAGTGCCTTTCTAAACACTCAAGGACACTTTACAGACAGAAATAAAATACACAACAATAAAAGATGAAACAGCATAAAACAAAGACAGATTGGAGCAAAGAGAGAAATTATTGGAATGCTAGACGGAACAGGTTATTAATTACGTGTCTGGGTGGAACAACTAACATGGCATTGGCTCCTTTAAAATGGCTTGGCATCAACCTTGGACTATTTCAACTAGGGCTTTCTTTGAGTCAAGAGCAGATGGAGGTACTTAAGTCATTTATTTAGAAAAAGTATGCATTTGAGTCTTCTGCAACAGTGTATGGTGGACTGCCCCATTGACTGACATCCATAGCGGTGAGTATGTCACCTTGTTTGTTGTACAAAAGCATGTGGACAGTTTGAAACACAACCGTAGATTGAGCTCTGTCTATGAGTTGTTGCCAGACTACATATTCACACTGTGGGTATGGAAAATATTCAGACCACGATCAACTTTTCACTTTTTCTTTTATGGCAGCCATTTGCTAAAATAATTGAAATTCATTTTTTTCATCACTAATGTATACACAGCACTCCGTCTTGACAGAAAAACACAGAATTGTATAAATGTATGCGGATTTATTGGTGGACAGCCATTTTTAGGTCTCTCCAGAGATATTCAGTGTTAGATAGTTTTACATCCTGAAATGAACCACACAGGAGAGAAGCCAGTAAAGTTATTTACGCTGGATACAGCTGAGAGAGAGACTGACTCAGTGGTGAGATCATTTGATCACATGGCTTCGCCTGCCACTGCTATGCAGACGACACCCAGCTCTATCTGTCATTTCCACCGGACGACCACACCGTCTCTGCACGAATATCAAACTGTCTCTCTGACATCTCAAAATGGATGAAATCCCACCATCTCCAACTCAACCTCTCTAAAACTGAACTACTTGTCATCCCAGCAAAACCATCCATACAGCACAATATCTCAATCCAAAATGACTTCTTATCTCTGGCTCCTTCAAAGGCAGTTAGAAATCTGAGTGTCGTGATTGATGAACACCTGACCTTTAAAGATCATGTTACCTCTGTTGCTCGTTCATGCCGCTTTGCGCTGTATAACATTCGAAAGATCAGACCATACCTAACACAACATGTCACCCAGCTCCTGGTGCAATCTACTGTCATCTCCCGCCTCGATTACGGCAATGCCCTTCTAACTGGTCTTCCAGGCAGTACTGTGAGACCTCTTCAAATGGTCCAGAACGCAGCGGCACATATGGTTTTCAATCAGCCAAAAAGAGCACACGTCACCCCTCTGTGCATTGAGCTCCACTGGCTACCGCTAGCAGCACGCATCAAATTTAAATTGCTAACACTAGCATACAAAGTCCGAGATGTTATGGCTTCCATCTACCTGAATCCTCTTGCAAAGGCTTACGTCTCGTCTCGGCCGCTCCGGTCATCACAGGCTCATCGGCTAGCAGTGCCTACACCACGCTCAGGACAATCCAGACTCTTCTCATGCATCGTTCCACAAATGTGGAATGACCTTCCAAGCACTACTAAAACAGCGGCTTCCTTTTCAATTTTCAAGATACTCCTGAAGACCCTGCTCTTCAGAGAGCATCTTCTTAACTAGCACCTTGCCTGCACCTGTCCCCCTCTCTACCATCCACTCCTTTGTTCCCTACTCTCCATTACTGATGTCAAGTTGTTGTTGTTATTGTTGTTGTTAGCCTCAAGGGCAACATGCCGATTATCACTTGTAAGTCGCTTTGGACAAAAGCGTCTGCTAAATACATAAACATAAACATTATCGTGTGTGACTGTGTGTATGGTTTCTGTGTGTGTGTGTGTGTGTGTTGCTGCAGTGTAGAAAAAAAGCTAATTGTGCCATGCAGATGTAAAGATCCAGAAGCAGATAAAAAAAAGGCAATGGAAGGAATTATAAAGGTTAAGAAAAGGAAAAAAGAAAGAAAAGAAAAAGTGTTGTGGGGGTGAGGTGGTGAGGGAACAGGTGAACATATCTAAACACAGATCTAGCAGCTAATAAATCCTGACATGATCCAACCCAGTGAATGCTGTTAATAATAAAAGAGTTGTACCTGATGTTTGTATAATAAAGCCAGGCTGTTACTCCTCGTTCTTTGTAGAGCTTGCTGTCCACAAACAGTTTAACAGAGATGACAGCCCGCTTGCCATCCTGGATGAACTTCTTACGCAGCGGGAAGAGAACTCGGTGGCGATCCAGAATTTCCTCAGGAAACTGATGGTTCACGCTGTAGTCTTTACCTTTAAGCTCTCTCCCACAGCTTTTAACAAGATCTTTCTGCTTGAAATGCTCAAATTTAGCAACGATGGGACGAGGTCTTCTGCTGTCCGTTCTCCTAGCTCCAAGGCGATGTACCCGATGAAAGGTGATGTTTCCAACCAGGGGTGCCCAATCTTGGTCCTGGAGGGCCGGTATCCAGCAGGTTTTGTGGTTTTTCTGCCCCAACAGACTTGATTCAGTGGTTGAAATGTGACACGATCCAGGTAGAATGGATGGTGCCACTAATATTAAAAGGATTAAAATAGGTTCTAAAAAAAACAAGGCAACCACAAAGCAAATTAAAAAGGAATTTATTCCGAGGCTCGCGGATGATGATGCCCAAAATGA